GTTGTCTGTGATGAAGATGAACAAAACCACACAAGAGTCTCACTGACTATTTCCTCAGCTCAGAGCCCAACCCCAGAGATGCAGGTGTCTGGTTTGAACAGGTGAGCATCGCAGTAAAGCAGCGTGGAGCAAACTGAGCTTGAATTATTTTGGTTTTATGAACTTTTTCTGCTCCAAAGCATGAAAGTTAATAGGTGAGATTACATTTCCATTTAGGAGAATTACTATATTTGTTTATGTTGTTGGCCTGTGAAAAAATATATTGAAATGTTACAGATAGAAGAATAGAATAGAAAAAGAATAGAAAATCCCTTTATTGTCCCTCAGTGGGGAACGCTTTGTGTCACAGCAGCAATAACATTACAGGAGCAAAAATATGGAGTAAAAAAAAAAGAATAAAAAACAAGAAAATATAAAATAAAAATACTTAAAAGATTCAAAAGATTAAAAAAATGAAAAGAAATGCTGAACGTATACACATTTTAAGGAATACAAATACTACAAAAATTGAGACATAATAAGTAACAAATACCACTGATGTGTGCTTTATTTAAAAACGATTTGCTCGTGTGTAAATGGTTATTCCACATTCAGTGTTACGCAAAAATAAGTTTGTTTCCAAATGAAAAGGTTCAACCGTACATGCATGGCCACACCAGATACTGACTGGTTTTCTGCCCCACCACCCCCTTAAGCAAAACTGTGCACAAGTTGATGTCGATGTAGACGAGAAGCTCGCAGCCATGATTCCACGTGTCTGATTTGAGGACTCAAATTTAGTGAAACCAGCCTTAGGTGTTCTCTGGGTATGTTCACACTAAACCTAAAGTAACTTTTGTCGCCTGTCTAAAATAAGCACTTAGTTGGCATAAAAACATGTTTTTAACATTCATGGACATCATATATTAAATCCATGGCACATATAAAACTGGATCAGAAAATAACTTATCGTCCCATTGACTCGCATTCATTTTTTGGCAGTTTCATTGTCTAAAAGTAGATGGGCGTGACTTAGGTTCCCTTTATTTTTATTATACATTGTGCCTGTTGTTGCTCTGGAAGGTGTAAAAAAGCATGATACTTTCCCTTTACACTTAATACAATTATAACTACAGAACCCACTGAATCATAGTTGACTTGTGTTACAAAGAGAAGATACTGAAATGTCTCGTCATTTTGAGACACTTCCTACTACTGGCCTCATCATAAAATGAGTTTATAGGAGGAAAAACCAACTAATGTAAATAATTACAAGCTATAGACCCAAAATGGTGCTGCTAAAGCATTCTGCCCAAACAAGCTCTGTACTGACTTGATCCAGGGTGAAAAAAACCTTCCTGAGGCAGCCGGTTCTCAGCCATTTGAAGTCTGTCCAGCCCAGAGCCGCGCAGCAGCACCCAGTACTTAGGAGTGCTACTGTAGAGGGTCACTGAGGACATGAAGTGTCCTGCATCTCATTTCATACATTTGCGTTCACTCTCGTTGCTACTGAAGAGTGGACATAGGCTTTGGAGCATTTTTTTGTGTTGCCTTGTGGATTTTAAGAGAAGGATTTCGTTTTCTGGGAGTTTATTTTTGCACAGTGTATTCACTATCTAAAAATAAAAGGCACTGAACTGACCACCGGGTTTGGAAATGTTTCTTGAGGCCAAAGTTGTCTGCAACAGCATTAAAAGTCAAATTGATTTTACCTATTATTAATTTATTACACAAAATCATATTTTCCCAAAGGTCAAATGTTAAATGCACGTGTTTTATCCAACTGCCTTGTTTTCCTTTCACACAGAAAAGGTTAAATATGAGCGCAAAACCCAAACCCAGGCAATATCGCCTCATGAATAACAAAATCCATCAGTGTGTAAATTCATTCCATGTAGGAAGCAACAAGGGTAAATTTCATGCCAAGCATTACAAATAAACAGCGGGGGACGTGTGCAGCTTTGGACAGCCAAAGGTCATCTCAGCGTTATCCCTTCAGCTCCTTTATTCATCAGAGGATCCAGACACTGCATTTGTGTATCTCATTAGTTCTGAGTCCACACCCAACAGCTCACAATGACAAGACCTACGTAAACAACTCACAACTATTTGAATCATCATGCATATTGGCCAACTTTAAACTGATCAATGAGATAAATAAATCACAGCTTTCAATATGTGGACAACTGCATTGATTCTGGTGATAACAATCGACTTAGAAAGAAAAATAATCTTGTATCTTTAATGAAATATTGAACAACAGGCTGTTTTACACTTTGAGGGTGAAAAGGTAAAAAATGTTTAAAGGAAAATGAAAATTTATGGTCAAAATTAAAAAAAGACCCTAGCAATTTCTTTCTAACAAAACCTTCCCAGTTTGGTGTTTGAACCCTCTTATGTTAATAATGGAGTTGCAGCCAGTTTTGTAATCTATGGCATCTTGAATTGTACACAAAATCATAGAAGTATAATAGTTTCATTCAAATCTATCCACGAGATAGACGAGATATTCAGCTGACCAACCCTCATGCACCCTGACCTTTATTGCGATAATGACAACCTGCACTTCTAGAAGCAGCTGGTAATCAAACAGATGCCACCGTGACATCATTGTCTTTATAACAGAATGAACATATCTGGGAGTTTGTTTGAAGGCGTTGACTTTAACAGACCTTTAGGAAACGGTTGGTTTGAGGAAAATGACAATGAAAAGATATTGCTGACATGCTTTAGGAAGCAGGCCTGCCACTAGGCCTGCCAAGCACATAAACACATGATTCAGTTTCATAACTGTTGTTTTAATAAGGCGTAACAAGAAAAAAAAGACCACACTACTATGAAGCCTCTTCTGTAACTGACCAGTGAGTTCCCAAAGTTGTAAGACTGCCATTTCTGCCTTCACTACCAATTGACTCCCTATTAAATTACTCCCCTTCCACTGCTGTTCCATCCTGCGCTTTAACTGTTGGTTATGAGATTTGCTTGACAGCACGCAGATCCTGTCACCCACTGACTAACTTGTTCGTGTCAAAGGAGCATCAGACGTAGGAAAGAAAGTATAAACAAGTAAATTGAATTAGATCTGGTTATTCATCTGCAAAAGGCAGTTGGGCAGTCAAAGAAAAGACAAACCAGATTATATTCATGGCTTGTTTAAAAGCAGCAGCCCATGAACGGAACCAAGGCATAATCATGACCTGTCTGGCAGTGGAAAGCTCTTTAAGTCTGCCTTAAAACAAATGTTTGGTTTATGTTTCCAGACAGCTCTTCAACATCACTTTTTACACCAGGTGGCCTCCTGATGGTTTAGTCCTCTAACACACCCTCTGCAGGAAAGAGGCATCTGTTAACTGTCCTACCCTGAAACTTTTGACCCCAAAACTTAATTTCCAGGATCCTTTAACATTTATCTCAGACCCAGTCTGTTGTGTTTCCACAAGAGCATGAAGTTCAGCATAGATTAGGCTAATTAAATCTGCCGGTGTGTGTTGTTTCTCTAGGTGAAGACAAAGTATATATATCAGCAGCAGCAAAATGGGACAACACACCAGTAGAATTAGACCCATAAAACAATATTCTTAGATTAGTTTTACTCTCAAAGTAGGAAAAACATGCTCCAAACTTTGTGAAGATGTGTAACTGTAATTGATCTTAAACAAAATTGATGCAATTCTCCACGTTTGCTTGCATCAGTTGCAACCGAGAAGAAAAAAAACTGTTTACAACTAATATTGCCAAGATTAGTCGATTTGTCAAAATTACGATGACTGTCAAAATCTTAAGTGACAAATGTAATAATTGTTGTTGATCATTGTTTGTTTTGGAAAGCTTTGTTTCTCTCTGAAGACCGCTGCTGTGTCTTCCACTGCACTGTATGGTCAGCTGTGGCATCACCGGAAAAGACCAAAGAACCAAATCATGACAGCTTGAATGTTCTGGAGAATTTCATAAAAAGTCAAGAGATGCATGTGGAATGCAAAAACTTCAAGGTAGAAATTGCCTTCTATGAAAGGTTTCTTGAACATGACAATGAGTTCACTGTACTCAATTGGCCTCCAGTCACCAGATCTCAAACCAATAGAGCACGTTTGGGATGTGGTGGAACGGGAGATTCTCATCATGGGCATGCAGCCAACAAATCTGAAGAAACTGCGTGATGCTATCATGTCAATGTGGACCAAAATCTCAGAGGAATGTTTTCAGTACCTTGTTGAATCTATGCCACGATGGATTAAGGCAATGCTGAAGGCAAAAGCAGGTCCAGCCCGGTACTAGCAAGGTATACCCAATAAAGTGGCCGGTGAGTGTATGTCATGTGTTGTGTTCGTATAAAATCACTGTCCAGGAACATCTTACATTCAGTTTAAACACTATCTTGTTTCTACACTTCTTCTACTCTATTGTTTGTTTTTTACCATCGCTCATAGCAACACCTCTGGCTAAAAAGGTCATTACAATATACCTTATAAACACGTTTGCTGTCATGTTGCAAATGCTAACGTTACATTTTATAACGATAAGTTAGTGTTAAATTAAAAGTGTTCCTCCTCAGTGTCAACTTTTTAAAATCAATTCAACAACATGCACACCTTTGCAAGCAAATGTCCTGTCTGGTTGCATTAGAGCAGCTGCCTGCTAGTGTGATGAGCAAAAATGTACAAGATATCCAATTAGATGACTAATCACCAAAATAATTTGTGACTAGTCAATTGTCAAAAAAAATAAAAAACTGTTCATGGCAGCCCTACAAAAATCTGTGTACAGCAGATCACAGCTTTAATGGAAGACCTATTACAGCCTGAAGCGATTTTACTTGAAAGTTGACATGTTTATGTGGGTTAGTAAACCAGGATTTTATGTTAAGAAATCAGTTATGAGATAACTGAGACAGAGATGGACATGACATGTTTACTCCACCTCAATGCCTACTGGAGACAGTCAGTTTTCTCCCAAAAGACAGAAAAGAATAATACCATGTGTAGCTTTAGCTTTCATTTAGAAGATGAAAGTGCTGCTGTTACCTTGCACACAGTTTCAATATCCCAGGGTAGGATGGTCCGTAAGTCGATGACCTCACAGGACACGCCAAGTTTCTCCTGGGCCATGCTGGCCACCTCGCTCATTACATGGATCTAAATAACAACAGAAACATTCAAATCTTTGTGCAATCAGTGCTTAAGTTTGAGTTATTCTACAAATAATGCAACAACCTATGAGGCAGAGAGCAACACACTTTTGTAAAACATCACACCAAAAGGGAATTTTATATGATGTTTTACTAACAACTGATTTTATCTGTAATATTTTACTTTGTTTTAGTAAAATTGTGTTTTATTGCTTTTGGATTACTTTATTGGGCAACACTGCCTTGTAAACAAACTAATGTTGACATCAAAAACTTTCAAAGACCTTCTTTCACTCCAACTTTTCCAGTAGATTCTAATCCAGAGCCAAACCTAGCAGCAGGGCTCCTTCTGTTTAAACCCAAAAAACTGCCAGCAGTCACATACCTAATGCAATAGTAGCTCTAACTCTTTGTTGCGTAGTCAGTGTAGGGTTTAGTTTGCTTAACCCATGTGAGAACAATAAAAGCCAAACTTTCATGTGTATGTGAGCAGATGCAGTAAGGCATCAGGGTTTGCGGTCAGTGTTCTCCGCCTTTAATACCATTTTGAAGAATACCACCCAATGCACAATTATTTACAAAAACAGCTTTCTGCAGCTTCACCTGAACTTCTTTCTTCTCCGTCCACACAAGAGCAGTAATACCATCTTGGATTGAGACAGTGTCTCAATAACCCCAACCACCTGTCACGCTGAGGGTAAATTACATCTTTGATAAGCCTGATAAGGAGTTAGGGCACAATCTAAGCCGGGGATGATTCCTGGTGAGCGACAGGCTTTTTTTTATAGCAAACTATAGAAAATTACATTTCAACAATAGCAAAGCCAATGCAGGCTCACAGTGTTAAAACAGAGAGCCAAGAAAAGCCTCATCAATGTGCTGAGGGATCATGCTGGGACACAGGGAACTGCTGCTCCTCTTCATAGCATTAAATATTATTTAATGCTATTGGATATAAATCCTTTAATCTTCAAGGTTTGGAACACTTGTTTAATTTGCAGTGGTCTCTAGTAGGAATGCCATGCAAGTCGTACTCGGGGTTAACACATTTTTGTTGCACCATTTTCAAGAACTGGAAGTGAGTCACAATTGGGACGAATATTTCTGTTCTGATATTTAAACATCTTGCTTCTGATTGGTTAACAGCAACTCAACTCTACCACCGGCTCTGCTTGCTTTGCAACATTGATGTTTTATCGCCACAAACACAAGTCTGGAGGAGTTCTGCTGTGTGGTGGAATTGCTAATGCTAATGGCTAGCTTGTACTAGCCAAGATGTTGGCCATTTCTCAATATGCATACTTGTCCGAACTTGTGTACTCACGTCCTTGTGAAACGTCATAAAAGATGGCCCAAGGACTGTTCCAATCCTAAGTATGCATAATGGAAAATTTGCTCAAAGTTCCCAGATGTGTTCTTGCTCCACCCATTGTATCGAGGATGCATCAATGCATGAGTATTTTGGGGCTAGTCACGACATCTGGGGGAAACTGGCAGCACATTTCCACCAGAAAAGTGTGTTGTCTCTTTAATCACAGGCTCCAAAAGGAAGGCTGCTATTTCAGCTCCGGCTCGCTCCTGTACCGAACGGGCCAACATCTTTCGCGGCCATCTTTTGTTTGTACAAATTACCTCATCGGTCTTTACCGGCTCTCCTTTATCGTTTGCTTTGAATCTGAAATATTCTCAAACTGCAGAAGTTGTGTTCTTTTAGATACCAAGTCACTTGGTGCAAGAGCTGTCATTTCGCTGCCCGTATCTCTCAGTGCATGTCCTCATCGCTGTCACGTCATGACATCACGTTCATAAACTAGAACATCTCCAAAAGTTGCATAAAACATTTTAAACTATTTAAGTAAAACTGAAACTTCAACGACAAATCCATTTTATACATTTATTTGTATTTTTTTTTATCCTTGTCTCCTACATGCACTGCTATTTTTCATTGTATGGCACCAGTCCTGGAACAGATACCATAGCTATATTTTAACACAGACTGTATATGGTAATACCGTCCAAGCCTAATTAGAAAAATGTTTTTGTTTTTTAGTGTTCCACATCCTTAAAGTTGTAAAACAAAATCTGCAAAACTTCTCATCTAATATGCTGGTGATGTACAAATCACCTACCTGCGTTCCCCAGGCAATGAGAGTGACATCACTTCCTTCTTGTAGGATCTCAGCCTGTGAGAGTGGGATGGTGTAGGACTCTACTGGAACCTGCTCCACTAATGAAACACACACACACACATTCATGCTCAAACACATTTTATGCAAGCTCACATGCTACATTCATGTTGCACAACGACTAACTTGTTCATCGTTCACTATGTACCCTGTGGTTGATGTAAAATGCTTGGGTCATAAATGAGCAAAAACTCTGAATAACACACTAGATGAAAAAATGGTGAAACAAGCCACCAAAAAAATCAAATATTCCACTACAACAGTTTTCTGGACACTTCCAGAAGCTATATTGTGCTTTTTCCACAGATGGTTTTATGAGGAAAACCCAACGTATGATCCAATGAGAATTGTCGCCAGCAACGAGCCTAGAATAATTTATGTTGACCACAAAACATTGATGGGATGAGGTAGTGATTAGAAGATGGGCCACAAAAGAATGAAATATTAGTCCAAAAGGGAAAGCGTATTAGCCAGCTTCTCTTTCAACTAAGTCCAGCACAAAATACATGTAAGTATACGGTGTGGATAACAGTCATTAATGTCTTGGAAAACTGACGTCATGGGATTCTTTTGATTGCAAAAACAGTCAGCTTGTCCCAAAATGTCAATTTCTAAAGTTACAGAGATTTTTCACAATTAACCCTGTCTCATTCAGCAAAGTGAATCTGGGTTTTGTTGTAAATGCACGGGACAGTAAAGCACCAGTGGGTTTTGGAGAAACAGAACTCCTGAAGGCTTTCCTGCAAGGCCAATCATAAAGTCGGCATGACAATTAGACTGAGCAATTGGGATTAAGATCTTTCGAGAAACCTTGTATTGCTGCTCTGTCTTCTCTGAGCATGTGCTCGTTGTAAGTTAAGCTGCTTTCACATCAGGGCCAGCTCGCCCCCGGCCAGGTATGGTATGAAGTGTTCACATCTGGGTAGCCTGTGTTTTTCAGTGCTCAACCAGTCATTTTTTAGCCCTCTTCCCAAGATGTTCTGCTACAGGCTGAACTGTTCAACACAAAAACTGCCAACTGATTGGCCGACTCAAATTCATGCCTACGATTAAGGGGAGCCTCCGATTGGCGGGTTGAATCAGTCAGCGGGGGCTTCCAGCATACCGATTCATTATCATTCTGGATGCTCTGACTGGAGCCGTCTTTGTCTCTCTCACTGAGAAGTGCTGTAACGAACGAGCTCACACACACAGGCACACACACACACACACACACACACACACACACACACACACACACACACACACACACACACACACACACAAACAGACAAACAGAGCTGCCGAGGATTGAGCTGTCCGTCGGGAGGACAGACCACAGGCAGGATGCCATATCAGAGTCAAGAGTCACAATTAGCATAGAGGAAGTTTCTGTTTTCCTTGTCAGGTGTGATAAAGAACGTAATTATCATTCCTCATCAATTGATAGGAGATATGGCAAAATATCACACTTTTCTTTTAGTGAAATCAGTGTTTAACTTGCATTTTTATTATTCAGCCCAAGAACTATACAAGATATACTTATCTTTCAGTTTTGCCAAGAAAATGCTTGTATGCTGTTCCAGTCAGCCTAAAGAAGCTATTGAAAAAAGCCCAAGATTCCCATGCTTGTAGCTCCAACCTGACATTTGTTTCTTTACATTTTCAGCAAAATGACTTAATTTGACTGTTCATAAACATGCCATACTGTCCAAACCCCAGTGCTACCACTGCAGTCTTAACTAAACACCTCTGTTGGAGTAAAAATTGCTCCACCAAAGAGAAGTGGTCTTGCATACACATTACATAATCTTCTCTTGTCAAAAAGAGTCTTTAATTACTATAATGGAGTCTTAAATCACACATATCAGGTTATTATCATGTAGCCAAATGAGCACCACTTTACAGAGGCTGCCAACAAGCAAGAGTTTATTACTACAATGTGTAACCATGGGACAGCTTACTGCATGTACATAGATACCCACATATAAGATGGTGGAAGTTATAACCTGGAAGTGTAAACACTTAACCTGACATGGTGTTTGGGCTGCCAACAATTACAAGATTTATTGTTATTATTCTGCTTAATAATTCATCAAATAATCAATTATTCCAAACATTATTTTTTACTCCAAATATCAAAATCATCTGTTTTATTTTTGTTTATTTTCTTTTGGGATTTATTGTTAGCCAGTTAGACCAGAAGTTCCCTGATGACTCTGCCATTGTCGGCTTTGTGTCTGACTGGAATGACCTGGAGTACAGGGTCAGTCATCATGGACTTTGTGGACTGATGTGAGCGTAACCGCCTTCTCTTGAACACCAGTAAAACTAAGGAAATGGTGATTGACTTCCAGAGAAACACTCCTTCCTCACCAGTTAACATCCAGGGAGCAGACACTGAGGTGGTGGATACCTTTAAGTACCTGGGTGTTCACCTCAACAGTAAACTGAACTGGTCCAACAACACAGATGCTCTGTATAAGAAGGGCCAAAACCACCTCCCCCTCCTGAGGAGGCTGAGGTCCTTCTGAGGTAATTCCGAATCCCTGTATGGGTGCAGGCAGCTCTGAACGAGACAGACAGAGCCTGAAGAAGCTAGTTAAAAAAAGCTAGTTCGGTTCTGGGCTGGAGAAGAGTAGCTCCATCTTTAAAAACCCCTCCCACCCACTGCATTCCACTGTGGAGGCCGTGGACAGCTCCTTCTGCGGAAGACTGAGACATCCCAGATATAAAACAGAACACTACCGTAGGTCACTCATCCCTTCTGAGGTAAGAGTGTATAACTTCTCAGTTTTACCTGTACTGACATAATCCTGTTACACAATAACATCAATTCATCACTCAGTATGTGTTCAATACTTGTGCAATACCGGATGTACATTAGAACGCCTGTGTCCCTTACAGTATGCTGCATAGTTCTGCAAAGCCAAGTTTCCTTTTGATTTGTTGTTTTTAGTGGTTGAGGGTTAAAATAATAGCTTATTGCTATTGCATAATCTTGTTATTATGTTTCATCTTGCTTTTCTCTAAGTGTATGTGCTGCTGTAGCAAGTAAATTTCCCCACTGTGGGATCAATTCAGTCTATTCTACTCTATTCTATAAAATAAAGAAATAAAGAACAAATAATGTCAGACAAGGCTCTTTTTGTCAGATATACCCCTGTACTTATCTTAGATAGACATAACATTGAACTGAAAGTTTGAAACTCCTTCGGCATGTCAAAGTTTTTATAACTTTGCTCATTTAAGTAAGACACCCAGTCAAGACTCAGCAACTTTATCTGCCATGATAGTTTTGAAACTGTGGCTTGGATGGAGCCAACTAATGACTGGGGCTGAACAAGAAAAGTTTTTGTTGAGATGTTTCAGAAATTAAAGCTAAATGTATAAACGGTTGAGCTAAACTGACGATTAAAAATCTTTTAGAAACTAAAACTCTGAGGAGTGAGTCAGGATTAATCTAAACATCACAGATGCAAACAAACAAAAACCCTGAACATATATTTTATTTTACACATGAACAGGCTTACCTGCTGCCCTGTAAAGAATCTTGGGCTCAAAGAATATACACGGGTTCTTGTCAGCAATGCAAGACAGGAGCAGCCCTTTGGCCTGAACTGGACCACGAGGTACAACAATCTGAGGAGGAACAGAACAATAAAAAACATTAACATTTTTCAGGTTTGAGAATGCCTGGCATAAGGATATCCATATAAGCCCTTGGCACCAGGATACTTTAGGTTGCAGCTCGATGATCAACTTTGTTGATCTACGACAGCACGTTCAGGACACTTGGGTCATGAGAGGGGCTGAGCTGTCAACTGACCACTACCTGGTGGCAAGTTGGCTTTGATGGTGGGGTAGGAAGCTGGTTGGCAAGTTGGCTTGAAGGTATTAGACAGAGTCCGAGTGAGCCATGTTCCACGTCTCCAGTGTCGAGGTGGCCGACGAGCTGTGGCTGCTGAGTGGTCAGTGCCTGTTTTGGTGGCAACCCCAAAGCCATTGGTGGACTGGATACTGGTGGTTAGGGATACTGTCAAGCTAGAGAAGGCTTTTTGGCCTGTGGGACTCCAGAGGCAGCTGATAGATACTGGCATTCCAAGCGGAATGCATGGGGTTCGCCCAACCAATCTACATGTGTTTTGTGGATTTAGAGACAGCGTTGGACCTCAGCATCACAATAAAGGTGTTAAAGCCTAGAAGGCAGAAGCTAGCCGAGTCGCTAAGTAACAGCTTACCCCTCTGTTAGCTACTGCTAGCTCCGAGTTAGCTCAGTTAGCTTGTAGCCACATCGGCTCAGAGTTTGATGAGTGCCAATCCGGTTATGTTAACCAGATATTTTCGTGTTTGTTTTTTTCAATAGTGATGAAAAATCTGAAGGCTGTCTGTCATTATGACAGAGTACAATTCACACCCTGACTCATGCAGGTGCACACATTTAAACATTACACACAGAGAGCATCGCAGAGGTAACAAAATCAATCAAGAAAAGATTCATCCGAGCATCTGAGCATTATTTCACACTTGGACCCCATTCTCAACGCATCTCGCCATGGATAGTGCGCGCGAGTGGACAGCACACTAAAGAGCTGTGTAGTGCTGTGGGTCATAGGCCAGTGACGCAGAACCATGCAGGAGGGTTTCCTCTCACTGAAGCAAGTGCTTTCCAAGTCTGGAAACCTTGCTAACTTCTAGTTATTTCATTTGGAGAGATATTCTCGGATTTTAAAACTTTGGCTGATGATTCCAGTCTCTAGTGTGGCAGCAGAGCACAGATTCATCCTCCAAAACATGAAAACACGCACGAGTCTGTCCGAGGCAAAAGTCCAGAACCTATAGCCTCTTCAAGAAGCCCCCTTGACATTTGATTACACACAAGTGACCAGTTCAGGTTTACGCACAGCAAAGGGAAGGTGAGAGATGGTGTGTTTGGGCCACATTGTGTGAAATGTTCCTATATTAAGTGGAATCATTTAGCTTGTTTGGACCTAATATTGATAAAAAAAAAGAAAATTTAATGTTATTAAATGTTTATCAATCATTAGAAATGAAAGTGATGGGAAATAAAATGATAATGGCTGTTTTGTCAATCCCCCCCCCCCCCCCCCCCCCCCCCCACACACACACACACACACACACACACAGCCCCACTCTTTGCTTTATTTTTGTATTTTGACAGAGTGGCGAGTCAAGTGATGAGGTCAAGGTGGTAGTGGTGGGAACTGCCTTTTGGGCTCATAAAAGATAGTGTGCTAAATTTATGGCAAAATCATAACATTTAAAGAGGAGACACCAAATGAAAACCCCAACCAGCATGACACTATATTTGTTTCTGCTATTAAAAATCATATAAATTAATTTTACTGAAACCTGCACATCAAACATGTTCAGAACCGGACAAATTCATACACAAAAGGCTGTGACTTAAACAGAGATGTTATGCTCTAAGATTAGCATTTAGCCTGATGTAGAGGCCCCATGTTTGTAGCTCATAATAACCCTTAGTTTTGATTTGAAGTCGCTCTAGATATCTGTCATGCTTAATAGCGTTTTATGACTGGAATGATTGTCTTCCATTTTGTTGGGCTTTGTCCTCATTTAGCATGGTTTAAGATTCTGGTTGGTGATTCAAACACAGAAAACTGAATCCTTCTCAACCCCAGGATGTTCTTTTCAGTTAAGATTATATCAACCTGTCACCACAGCTGAATATGAAAGTACATCAGAACACAGTATACCAAGATGTAACAACATTTACACTGAATGATCGCTGATTAAGTTAAAGAGGACAGACTTTAAGGCTCTCCCAGAACTGGTTTGTGTCATCGTTTTGTGAAAGCACCCGAACCCCGATACACACAGTAACACCAAACACACATTTAAAGATTTATTACTCAATAAAAGAAAAATGAACCACAATTCCATACCGCTAAAAGAACAGCTTTTGTTTTCGTCAGGACCGCCACTTCCTGGGAATAATCCGACTCTTAACTATATTTAAGGCATTATAAAAGTTCAACATCTGGTTTCCATCTAGAGATGTACCATTTCTTAATTTTCTTTTGTTTTTAACGCATTTCATTTTTGTATTTTATTGTCACAATATTACAAGCGATGTAATGTAATTTGATCCATCTCAGCATGTTGTACTGGTATTATAATCAGTCATCACTAAACCAGGGATTGAAGCAAAAAATTATTATCTGACTGAGAATTATTGTTTACATGCAGCCACTGTTTGGGATTTGATTGGTTTTAAGGTCAGTATTCTTGTTTCTGAAAACTTTGGAATAACCCGTTCACATACACAGTGTTTAAAAGTGTGGGTGTTGAGATTTCTCTGATGAGTATTAAAAGTACTCGGGGGGGGGGGGGGGGGGGGGGGGGTTCCTGTGGCATGGCATGCCCCCCCGGTAACAAAAAAAAATTGGACATTTTATACTTAAACGCATCAGTCTGGTGCATTTTTTGGGGGAAAAGTAGAGTTACAGGCTGGTAGGTGTGTATGATAAAGTATCTATACATTAGGGATGCACCGATGGATCGGCATTTGATCGTAATCGGCCGATAGCGCCCCTATCGGTTTTGATCGGAATTTTCAAAATAGATCAAAGCAAACCGATCAGGTAGGGTTGTCACGGTAACCAGTGTAGCGCTAAACCCCGGTAAAAAAAAAAAAAAAAGTTGACAATAATAACCGTCTTGTTTTTAAAAAACTATATTAAATTGGTAGGTTTACCGTGGCTGCGGTGTAGGCGCGGTGACCCCTTCCAGCCACCGTATCATCTGCAGAAGTTGCCGGCGGCACATACACGCTTTGTTTACAACAAAACTTTCTTGAAGCTAAAGCTGAAATAATGGTCAAAGGAGGAGACGGCAGCGCTCAGGAGGACATTTATTATCCCTCAAAGAAGACAAAGTCGGAAGTACGGGCATCTTTTGGATATTTGAAGAATGCCGAGGGAGTTTATAGAAGACGGGCGGCTATCCTGTTTGCAGCACGAGCAGAAAAAGAGTCTGTGAAAGGCAGCAACGCTTCAAATCTCATGACACATCTGCGTGACCATCACCCACAACTCTACAGTCAACGCAAGGCAAGTTAACGTTAGCGTTTTAGCTAAAATGCGTGATCCGAGGATTTGGGTTGAGGGAGAATGCAACGAGTGGCTATATAAAGCAGCCGCAGCGCCGCTACCTGCATATAAACCGTGTCGTGGACACCCCCATGTTGAAATGACGCTATGCATTACGGGGCTCCCAGGGGCAGATAAGAGTTGGTCTCTCTCCGAGAATAATTATGAATTTAACAATGATTACTGCCTGATGACATTTTCCCACATCTGCAAAGCTCACTGGAAGGACACAAACCGAGTACAATATTTTCCTGATATAGGGTTTATTACTCAAGTAAGGGTAAAAAAGTATCTGATTAGAAGGCTACTTGAGTACTGAGTATCATCTGGTCTAATATTTTTAAATGATGACATCAAACAGACATAAAATACGAAGTTATGGGCAAATATTGGTATTTTAAAGACTAAAGGGGAAAAATGTAAACAAATAAACAACATAATTACAAAATAACACATTTTAGGCAAAATTTAGACACAAACTGAGGACAATATTTCCTGACATACAGGGTTTATTAAATTGTGTGAAAATGTAGCACGTTTAAAAAAAATACCGCGATAATACCAAAAATCGTGGTAATTTTGGTCACAATAACCGTGAGGTTAAATTTTCACACCGTGACAACCCTAATACAGACCATTTTAGATTAGGTTACATTTCCTTTATTCCCAGATTATGTAGTTTGTAGCACTCATTATAATGTTGTAGAAAATTTCTGGCCAATCCACGTGATCGGTATCGGTGATCGGCAGCAAAAAACCTGATCGGTGCATCCCTACTATACATGTTCATTATAATGATATATTTGAGCCAACAATGTTTTCCTGTCTTTTCTTAATCCATTATGAATACAGACTACAGTGAAATCCGCTGATGCATCCATGCTGCTCAGTACCAGAACTGCACTAGATACCAAAAGAACCAATCAGCTGGCAGAGCTCCATGTTGACCGTGTGAGCTGCAGAACTTGCAAAACTATGTGACTCAAAGCAGAATCCAGCTGCTGTTATTTATTTGTTGTTGGTGTTCATAGAAACTAAATATATCTGCAGGGCTTTAGGCCCAGGGCAGAGTTGTATACCTCAGACCAGCTTTAGATCATGGCCTGTTATTAATAATATCATGTTCTTTACACCAATCTGAATATTCTGTAATGTTCACAGACATCCAAACCTTAGAAATGAAATATAATCAATATTAAAATAAAAATTAATATAATTTTTTCATTAAGATTAGTTATCTGTTATACTTATTTACATTTGATAGTAGGGTGTAGGGCTGTAGCTATCGAATATTTTTGTAATCGAGTACTCTATCTAATCTTTTATTGATTAATCGGGTACTCTAATAAATTACCCTTTTGTGTTTATAAACCATTATATCAAATAGCATGTTATAAAATATGAAAGACCTCTTAAAATGAGCAAGCAATTACCTGTTATTCTTCAAGTTTTATTCAAAATTAATTTTCAAAACTTCAGCACTTCAACTTTACTTCACAGTAAACAAATGCCTGTGCAAAAAATAAGAATACAACCTTAGCCGATTTTCCCCTCGTGCGAGAAGTAGCGCTGCGAGCGGCTGTGGCCCAAACTGCACCAGAACCGCTCACGGCGCATGTGCAAACTTGGCTCGCCAGCTGTTTCCCTATTAACACATGTCCGTTTTAATTTCTACACTTTTTTTCTCAAACAATAACAAGGACTGTCAAGAAAGCATGGTTGCCTTGGTTATGTCAAATTATACTGACCACAAAACATCTATTTACTTTATTTAATTTTCCTCTCATAAATACCTGAGTCCACCTGCAGCAATCCCGAGGGGCAACAGACATCAATAACAACACAATAAAAAGTCCGACGTAGGGTTGTCACGGTGTGAAAATTTAACCTCACAGTTATTGTGACCAAAATTATCACGGTTTTCGGTATTATCGCGGTATTTTTTTAAACGTGTTACATTTTCAGACAACTAAATAAACTCTGTATATCAGGAAAATATTGTCCTCAGTTTGTGTCTAAATTTTGGCTAAAATGTGTTATTTTGTAATTATGTTGTTTATTTGTTTACATTTTTTCCCTTTAGTCTTTAAAATACCAATATTTGCCCATAACTTCTTATTTTTTGTCTGTTTGATGTCATCATTTTAAAAATATTAGATCAGATGATACTCAGTACTCAAGTAGCCTTCTAATCAGATACTTTTTTACCCTTACTTGAGTAATAATCCCTGTATCAGGAAAATATTGTCCTCGGTTTGTGTCCTTCCAGTGAGCTTTGCAGATTTGGGAAAATGTCATCAGGCAGTAATCATTGTTAAATTCATAATTATTCTAGGAGAGAGACCAACTCTTATCTGTCCCTGGGAGCCCCGTAATGCATAGCGTCATTTCAACATGGGGGTGTCCGCGACACGGTTTATATGCAGGTAGCGGCGCTGCGGCTGCTTTATGTAGCGACTTGTTCCATTCTCCCTCAACCCAAATCCTCGGATCACGCATTTTAGCTAAAACGCTAACGCTAACTTGCCTTGCGTTGACTGTAGAGTTGTGGGTGATGGTCACGCAAATGTGTCATGAGATTTGAAGCGTTGCTGCCTTTCACAGACACTTTTTCCTGCACGTGCTGCAAACAGGATAGCCGTCTTCTATCAACTGTCCCTCGGCATTCTTCAAATATCCAAAAGATGCCCAAACTTCCCACTTTGTCTTCTTTGAGGGATAATAAATGTCCTGAGCGCTGCCGTCTCCTCCTTTGGCCATTATTTCGCTTTAGCTTCAAGAAAGTTTTGGTTGAAAACAACAAAGTGTGCATGTGCCGCCGGCAACTTCAGCAAGTGATACAGTGGCTGGTAAGGGTCACTACGCTTAAACCCAGCCACGGTAATCCACCGAAATAATATATATTTTTTAAAAGCAAGACAGTTATTATTATTGTTAACTTTTTTACCAGGGTTTACCGCTACACCGGTTACCGTGACAACCCTAGTCCGACGTGTTGTGTAAAAACTGCCATTTTTAGCACATTTTTAGGTCTGACGTGTTGCTACCAGAAGCACAATGTGAGCCAAAACTGAGTGCTACAAATGAAAAAGCCGCACAGTGTCCGCAGAATATATAGAGGACTTCCGAGTCCGCTTGCAGAAGTGACATTTACATGTGTAAATGCCTTACGAAGTGAAAAATGGTTCCACACCTTTGACATTTTCTGTCTTTTTTGCACTCCACCGGGGTCCACGTTGTCCGCCATGGCTTAAGAGAAAGTTAAGTTACACTCGCTACTCGCGTGTGCATTCAGTGCAGTGTGTATGTGCGTCACTTATTTTCGTCCGGGTGAAACATGACCCCGGGCGATTGCAAAGCCATGAATTAATTAAACATGAATCAAACGAAGCCTCGAGGCAGAGAATTTGACTCGAGGCTTTTTTGTACTTGAATTATTCGAGGTACTCGAGGAATCGTTCAGCCCGAGTAATATGATTAATAATATTTAATCTTATCTTCTATCGTTAGTGGGTTTAGTGCACTCACTTAATATTAATTATAAAATTAACAAATAACAGGTCACTACAGTCTGGGCATAGAAAGGGTTTCTAGGAACTAACGCTTGTTCAGCAGCTCACCTGTTCCACTGACAGGAGAAATCCTCTCATCAGCAGGTGATCAGCAGAGTGTCATGACTAAACACAGGCCCGAAAAAAACAAAGAGACGACTAAAAACACCGACCTCAGATTGGCCCATCGGGAATTTGGGTCCTGGTTCCGCTCATCACCTTAACTTTCTTGTGATATCAGAGCTTTATTGGCTCTGTTCGAACCCCGGCACCTGGTGCGAGCGCAGTTTGTGTTTGTACGCACCGTGGGTGCGAGCAATGAGCGCACACGTTGTTGCAGCTTGGGAGGTGCAGAACGGTGGTGAAATGTGTTTCAACAACATCGGTGTGCATTTCAATTAGCAACAGGAGAGAGAGAGCGAGCGAGAGACACTACTAAACCCAAGCGAGCGCGAGAAGAGATTTTGACGGAACTTTTTTCTGATTATTCCAACTGACGGATTCCCGTCGCCACGACGGAGAACTGTAATCCTTGCACTAAACATAAATCAGAACAAAAACAATTCTGCATTGCTACGATAACAATTACAAGCATATTTCTATGTATTCTGATGTTTTAACTGTTTTCAGTTCTCATTATTAAGCAAAATCTCTTCTGCATTTTAAATGATTACCTCTACATAGCAAACATGGAAAACTGATGTCTCATGTCTTTAGTTAAAGACAAATTGGTGGCGACTGAACGCCCATCGACTTCTTAAAGAGGTTATTTTGTAGAGGAATCTCTTACCACTATGACTAATTAATGGGGAGCACTAGGTAAAAGGGTTTAGCCTTAACACACTAAGACCTGATAAACCAGATGGGAAACAGTTTAGTAATAAGAACATGAGGTATTCATCTAGAAGAGTCAATTAGACTGCCTTTCATCTGTTTATGCTGCACATATAATCATTAACATATTGAAATGTTAGTGTTGAAAAGTGCATCAGCCACAGACCAGACATGAGCAGTAGTGATGCACCGATATGAAATTTTTGGGCCGATATAGATATTAAGATCACTGTGATGGCCGATAACCGATATTTGCCGATATCGATGTACTGACATTAATGCTTCTAAAATCTGCAGATTTTGTATAGAATAAAAATTATTAAAGCTGAATTTACGTTATTATGTACACACACCACATACATTTACACTTCTGAGATTATTACAATCACTGTGACATGACTAAACAATTACACATAAACTCCCCTCACCCTCTGAAGCAAGCAAACAAATGGTGACCAGATGGAAAAAAAAATGGTTGATAATATCGGCCCGTTTTTTTTTTTTTTCGAACCGATACCGATATGTTAAAAAATGACTAACATCGGCCGATAACAATATTGATGCTGATATATTGTCCATCCCCAATAATTAATTCTCATTGAATTCAAATGTGTAAAGAGGTTTACCTTGATACCAGGGCAGTGGACAAAGAAGGCTTCGGGACTCTGTGAGTGGTAAAGGGACCCATGGCCAACGCAACCCCACGGAGCCCGAATGGTGAGATTCCCACAGTCAAACAAGTTCCCAGAACGGTAGCGGTACTTGGCTGCTTCATTCACAATCTGGAAAGAGACAAAAGCTAATTGGAATCATACTTTTATATGTTATTTGACAGCTGTTTGTAAATATGTGATATGTTGTCCTGCTTGCTTGTGAAATAACAGATTTTATCATCAAAACACTTTTTTTATTTTCTCAAACTCAAATCTTTATTTATATAGCACTTAATCATACAATGCATGCAACTCAAAGTGCTTAAAAAATTAAAAAGGGCCCGCATACCGACATTCACTCCCATCCCCTGAATTTTAATCAATCAATCAATCAATCAATTTTATTTGTAGAGCACCTTCCACAATGTTATCAGAAGCCCAAAGTGCTGAACAGCATCATAAAAACATTCTCAGTACCTGGGCATAAGAGCAAGATAAAAACATTAAATCAAAAAATAACAAGCAAGCAATATTACAAATACAGAGAGGTAACGGAATGAGACTAATCAATTAAAAACAAATGGTGGACAAAATAAGATCAAGCATCTTGATCAAAAAGAAGAAGTATTAAAAACCATAATGACAGGGCAATTCAATGAAACCTATCGCTGAAAAGCAATCAAATAGAAATGAGTCTTTAAACGAGACTTAAAGACTTGAAGGGACAGTGCCTGCCTAATGGTCAATGGCAATTCATTCCACAGAGTTGGAGCCAAAACAGAAAATACACGATAACTAGGGCTGGGGGTAAACGATTATTTTTAAAACGATTATTCTGACGATTATTTTATCGAATAGTCGACTATTCTAATGACTATTTAGAAAATTAATCTAATGATTATTTTTCTATTGCACAATTAACAAAAACCAGAAAATCTCAAATAAATTCCTCAAAAAATTGATAAATTCTTACTGTAAGAGAATAAACACTACAGGCCTTCCATTTTGTGTAACACTGCTTTTATTGTGTTGCGGTTGGTTATGTTCTGGTGACATGTAGAACTTGGGAGTGCAGGCTGCTGCCTGAGAGGTGGTAGAAGATGGAGTGTCGCCATGCTGCTTTGTTTTGGTCACTTATGTGCGTGAGGCGAGTGGTGTTACGACCCTTCCTGGGGAGTTTGGCTCGTGTGCAAAAAGGAAGGGACAATAACGGGATTTAAAAGTTAAAATGATGATCAGGTTTATTTACAACTACAAAAACTCATAAATCTTTCCATCCACAGGTTGGGAATAATAAAACTAATTCTGCCTGTGGAGAATTAAAACAAAGTACAAATAACTAGGGATGTCCCACTGGGCAACGATTACTGAGTTCTGGACCAAAATAAGGATCTCCAAAAGTCCAAACTCTAAACTGGGTGGTTAAACCAAACTTAAGGTGATATTTTACACTAAACCGAAAACCCACAACACTCTAAATGTAATAAAAGGGAGATCTGCACCACAAAAAAGATGAACTCTAAACCAAAACGTAACAGCTTATCCAAACGCAAGAAGCTGTTAGCGAAGATGCCAACAGTAGCTTTACCAACATTAAGTTCAAGTTACCAAATTTAAATAAACCAAAACCACCCAGCAGCAAACAGACCAGCACGGAGGAGAGACTGATACCACCAAAACAGCTCTCCTAATGTCTGAAAGAAGCTCCTTAATGAAGGGAGAAACGCTCCCGGTGATGTCCTACATCTGCGGTAGAGACGAAGCAGCGCATCTGACCCCGGAAGTTGTTGTCCGTTGCCGGGAGACGAAGGCGGGCAACACAGGAAAATGATCTAGTAGTGGACGGACATTGTTCCGGGTCTTCGGTATTTGGCGGAGATGTTATTGAAGGCGGAGAAGAGGGCGAACTAGAGGAAAAACAGGCAGATTCCTCCTCTATTTACAAACTCCTGGGGATGCAACAAGTGGGCGCGGTGCGTCGACTTCCGGATCTGACGTCGACAAATTTTTAGAATTGAGCCGTCGACGTCGTCGAGGCTTCGCTACAGCCCTAACGATAACCCCTAGATCGATATTTGGACCGTGGGACCACCTCGGGGACCTGCTCGGCTGAGCGAAGAGACCGAGATGGAACATACTTGTGCAAAAGTGCAGTAATGCAAGAGGGGGCACTGCCCTGGAGGGCCTCATAAACAAGAGTTAGGATCTTAAATTTAGCTCGATATTGCACCGGCAGCCAGCACTGGAGTAATGTGATCTCGGCATCTAGTACCTGTCAAGAACCTAGCCACTAAAAACAGTCTGACAATAAAATCCCCCTCACAACACTCATCCTCTGGCACACACGCACGCAGACACGCACACACACACACACACACACACATGCACACACACACATGCATGCCCCTCCCCAAGGAAAAAAACACAATGGACTGAGATCAGACGAGCCAGACCAGCTAAGATATGGACAAGGAAACGCCATCAGGGGAGTCATCCGCCCCGACAGCAGCAGATTCACAGCAGCAGCCGAGGCACCGACACAGGGCGCCCAGGGCAGCGAGGGCGAAGACCCCCACCTCCACCTAGGCACACCTGGAAAGCAGGCCGCCACAGCCGACCACCGCCCCCGGGGCAGAGGGCACCCACGGAGGAAACACAGGAAAAAGGTAAAATTAAGATTAAAATATAATCCATCCCGCAGCGCTCCTCTGTGACATTGGGGGTGGGGTGGTTGCACATGTTCCGCTGCTGTTTCTCACCAGTATCAACTGATGGAGGGCTCTAGATTTGCTGCGCCATACGTGTCAGCAGACACAGTAGGGTCGGGGAGGGGGGCAGGGCATGAAGCTTAGCCTGGCGGGTGGGCAAGCAAAGCCTCTCGGGCCGCCAGGCTTATAAAGCGCTGAGGGAAACTGATTTGGATGTAAATACCCTCAAATAAAAGCTGACAGTCTGCAGTTAAAGCACATCTTGTTCATTTCATTTGATATCCATTGTGCTGGTGTATAAAATAACTTATCTGCTCACAGATTCCATTCTTTTTTTTTCTCGACAGTTGGGGACCCATGGTCTGGAAGTAGGTGGGTGTGACTCCCTATGAAGTTTTTGTGATGCAACAGCAGGAGAAACGATAAGTTTCAGTGTGTGAGAGAGACAACAGCAGTGAACAGTGGATCTACCTTCATAAAAAGCAATAATCGTCTGTTCTCTTCAAATACCAAAGCTATTGAAATAAAAGTTTTTAACAAGCATTTTGAGCTCAGGGGTTCTTTGCATTTACAGTTTCTAATGCTTGACATCTATCGCGTCAGACCCGTGCCACAACCCGTGCACGCGCATTGGGTCCACAGCGCGCGTGTGAACGGGACTCGCGAGCGAAAATATACATGGCAGCGCGCGCGTGAACGGGACTCGCGAGCGAAAATGTACATGGCGAGAGGTCATTTGTGCACTGAGAGGGAGCAAACTGTGTCTGTGAGCGCACAAGAAAGTGCACAAGTGACAAACCTGCGTGCGCGCGTTGCCAACGAGCACACGGCAGAGGAAAACGTGCGCGCGCGGCAGCCTCTCTGCGCGCTCGGTTTCTACTTCCGCTCGCTCGGCTGTGAGGGCTTTTGGCACTCTGGAGGCGTGGCCTGTGGCAGATCTTCCCTGTCCTCTGATTGGTTAGTTTACCCCGCACTTTACCCTCTACCTATCTATATAAAAAAGTCTGCTATTTAGTAGTTGCTGGCATAGCTCAGCTGGGAGAGCGGGTGACTCTCGCCCCGGAGGATCCAGGTTCGAGTCCGGGCAAGGAAAATGCAGTAGATGTCATGCTAATTTTTCTTAATTTCAGGTATTTTACAGTTGTGACCGTTCAACTGTCATTAAACGTCCGAATGTTTGCTGGGCAGTGTTTTAAAAAGTGCACATAAGCTAGATGGTTTTAACCAGGTAAAAATAGACTTGTGGGTGTAGGTATGCTCAAGTTTAAAGTTCTTGCCTCATTAATGTATTGTTTATTTTTTTCAGCATTTAATTGACAAATTATCCTTTCAAATAATTAATTGATGAGTTACATAATTGAAATATTTAATAATAGAAATATTTCATTAAATTAACATTTAAGTTATTTATATGCATCATTAAAATAAAAAAAAACATGTTTTGAAATATATAAAGTGCACCAAACTTGACTCAGTCCATTCAACAATTCTAAATGGACAATTATGTAACTCATCAATTAATTATTTGAAAGGATAATTTGTCAATTAAATACTGAAAAAAATAAACAATTCATTAATGAGGCAAGAACTTCTCTCTCTCTCTCTCTCTCTCTCTCTCTCTCTCTCTCTCTCTCTCTCTCTCTCTCTCTCTCTCTCTCTCTCTCTCTCTCTCTCTCTCTCTCTCTCTCTCTCTCTCTCTCTCTCTCTCTCTCTCTCTCTCTCTCTCTCTCTCTCTCTCTCTCTCTCTCTCTCTCTCTCTCTCTCTCTCTCTCTCTCTCTCTCTCTCTCTCTCTCTCTCTCTCTCTCTCTCTCTCTCTCTCTCTCTCTCTCTCTCTCTCTGCCCCACTCTAAGGGAGTTTGCAGTGTATTAGTGAGTCATATATTGTACAACCACAGTCATAAAGTTTTCAATCAGTAGTTTTATTTCAGTATGTATTTTTCCAGTATCACAAAAAATGTAATTTTATATGGTTAAAACCATCTAGCTTATGTGCACTTTTTAAAACACTGCCCAGCAAACAATCGGACGTTTAATGACAGTTGAACGGTCACAACTGTAAAATACCTGAAATTAAGAAAAATTAGCATGACATCTACTGCATTTTCCTTGCCCGGACTCGAACCTGGATCCTCCGGGGCGAGAGTCACCCGCTCTCCCAGCTGAGCTATGCCAGCAACTACTAAATAGCAGACTTTTTTATATAGATAGGTAGAGGGTAAAGTGCGGGGTACACTAACCAATCAGAGGACAGAGATCTGCCACAGGCCACGCCTCCAGAGTGCCAAAAGCCCTTACAGCCGAGCGAGCAGGAGTCAGAAACCGAGCGCGCAGAGAGGCTGCCGAGCGCGCACAGAGGCTGCCGCGCGCGCACGTTTTCCTCTGCCGTGTGCTCGTTGACAACGCGCGCACGCAGGTTTGTCACTTGTGCACATCCTTGTGCGCTCACAGACACAGTTTGCTCCCTCTCAGTGCACAAATGACCTCTCGCCATGTATATTTCCGCTCGCGAGTCCCGTTCACACGCGCGCTGCCATGTATATTTTCGCTCACGAGTCCCGTTCACACGCGCGCTGTGGCCCCAATGCGCGTGCACGGGTTGTGGCACGCTTTAAACGCCATAGACATCCTCCAATGTTTTCTCTTTGAAACCCAGGTGGGCTGTTAGAGTTTGACATCTCTCTAAGGTCTATTTGGATTGCATCGTTTAAAGAGCACAGAAGGAAAAGCGAGTACCCACTCAAGGCTCCTAGATTTAATATTCTGGTTTATCTTGCCTTGACAAAACAGTGCAGACTTCCATTTATCATGTGGGGGTCAAGAAAAAACAGAATGACAAAACATGTTTGCATGGGAAAACAACAGTGTTGCCATGCATCATGTTCTTCTCATTGAAGCCATGTCAGAAAAAGAAAAGGTAGCAGAATAACCTTCAATTGTCCTACTTATTCTGATTTACCTTTAGAACACCATATAACAGCAGTTGTTTGACGTTTTATTTACTTACGCTAACCTACAGCTCTAATATGGCTCAATATGAACATAAAAAGAGATGAGAGAGATGAAAGGAAATATCAATATGGCAATATATCATGATATTTGTTCCTGCAAGATTATATCGATATTCAACAGCTGTGTATCAAAAATACCGATATCGCAATATATCATGATTTTTTTCCCTGCAATATTATATCGATATACAAAAGCCATGTATGTAATTTTGAGAAGAATTTGCATGCAAACATTGGTGAATTTTCCTTTCTTTTGGTGCAATTCAAACATCGGCCACTAGTTCGCAGTGTGCAATGGGTTGTGTATCCACCATTGAAATGTAAATCCCTGCATTATGGTTAGATACCTCATGTTAAACATGTTAAGTATCAGTTTGGACTGTTTATTGAAATTTCCAATAATAAATTCAGTCTAAAAGATCGCCAATATCTGAATATATCGCAATATATTGTGATATATTGTACCGTCTCCCCTGTATTGTGATTCGTATCATATCGCCACAATTTCACCAATACACATCCCTAGTAAAAAGTAACCGATTCCCTGGACAGGTGGCTGCTCCTACTATAGCCCGATTAGAGATACGTTCCATTCCCAAGCAGTGGGTTGGTGTCCTTAGAAAAGTTTTGACTTATGCTCAATTATGAAGCATTTCTCAGAAAACAATCGCAGACGTCTGGAGACAACAACCACACAAAAAAGCACCCAAACACAAAATCCAGCTCTGTTGTCAGGTGAAATCAATCATTACGTATTTGATGAGTTAGAAAGTTTTCAGTGACCAGAAAGGGTTTGTGATGTCTTGTTCACTAAAGCTGTGTAAAGCTAGTTCTTTTTGGAATACATTTTGAGCTGCATAAGCATGCTGAACATGAAAAATTTCCTCAAACCCCATCGCCTGCAGAAAGGAAAGAGACAAGAAAACGACTGGGTAGGGCTGGGCAATAAATCGAAAATGTATAGATGTCGAAATATTTGACTCTTATCATGATAATTTTTCCCATGTCAATAAATTTGATAAAAATATTGAAAAGATGTGTGTAGGTTGGCAAGTTCATGTCCCTTTAAGAAGCTGTACCACCTTGAGTCACGTAAAAATGTGACTCAACGTCATACATGTGACAGCGCCATCTAGTGGACAACTTTTTTTCTGCGCCTACCTGTAGTTATCGTTCATTTATCGTTATCAAGGTGAAATACACAAAACACCGATATTTATTTTAGGCCATATCACCCAGCCCCACGATTGGGTCAGAAAAAGCCAGCCTCCGACATCAAGCTAGTTTTCATAGCCCCGCCCACTTTGCCTTGGGACCACAGGAAGGAGGGAAAAAGGCATATCAGCTAGTAGAAGCTAACTAATAGCAACTTCCAAACATGGCTGAACATGTTGATTAAGCATGTGTTCTTCGTGGCACAGGGGACAGTGCAATACAACAGGTTAGTGGGCGTGTTGAGGGCGGGATGTGACAAAAATACTTCTGAGAACCTTTCTCATTAGTCTCTGATTTATAAAGCGGAGATTGCGTACAGCTGTGCGTACTCCAATGTTTTATAGGTCACAAACCTACTTGGCGTAAGTAAATTTTTTTTTTTGCTGAGCTTAAGTAGGGTTTTAGTAAGGATTCTACGCAATGTTTGTAAATGAGACCCCTGGACTTTTTGTACCCAGAGTACCACTTACAAGGCATTCATTACTGCATCTGCATTCTCATTTTTTCTTAATGAATTTTGAAATGGGTTCATTTTTTTCTCTTCTGAATAATGTTATGTGCACCTATTCCCTCTCCTAATGGGGAGGGTCGCCCCGGGCAACAATTAACATAAAAACAAGTCTGTTTTCTTCAAAATTCATAATACCTTGCTGAACAAACTGCCCCAGCAAAAAAAAAAAAAAAAAAACGTTTTAGGAACAGACAGACGCCTTTGGCTAAGTCAACATTCTCTAAATTTCAGGTTATTCTCAAAACTCCTAAAAATAAAACCAGCTCCTACAGTCATCCTGACGTGTAGCACCAGCAGAGAGATAAGAGGGCTCAAAGTGGCCGATACATTTTAAACAAATGAAAATGCATTTGGGATACATTACTAATTAGTAATAGATGTTGTTGCACAGATGTGTGTGCATAGGTGTATGTCAGGGTTTGCAGGAGTGGTATGCAGCTTTTTATTGGTGCAAATAAGGGGGTTCCCAGTGAAACCGCCTCCAAAAAGGCATGAAACACTAAATGAAAGTCAGTGCATTCCCAGAGACGTATCTCCTCAGAGCTCCACTTTAATTTAAATGCATTAACATCTCGTCAAGCCAATAGGCTTCTTACCTGGTCAAATGCTGGAAAGATGTAGTCGGCAAACTGGATCTCTGCAATGGCCGTGGCACCAGCAACAGCTGCACCGATACCAAATCCAACAATCCCCTGCTCACAAAGAGGAGTGTTGAACACTCGGTCCTTACCTGAAAAACACAGTAAAATATAAAAATATGTAGCAATTCAGTACGTAGACGTAATCCAAAAGAAAATATTGGAAAACTTTTTTCTACATTGTGATAAAACTAACCTTGGAATGCTAAATGAAAAAATAAATGTGAAAATTTATTTGGAACAAGCTCAGAAGCTCAGACACATTATAAACTGGACTGATGAGATCTTTGGTGCAACACCATGTATTCCCAAATACAAATGAAGTGACAAGCTGATGATTTCTCCTCAGATGCATTTGACCAAGCTGGTGATTCACTCACACAACTCCCATGCAACCCAAACAGAGGAAAAAAATAAATTTCTGTTCTCCACCCTATAATCTGAAAAAGAACCACAAGACAGGGAAACTAAAATTGGGTTGTGAATGTTATTTTTACTCTCATCTTTGTGTATTTGCCAATCCTGCCTTTTTTCTGTTTTGCTGGGAAGTTTGCTGCTGAGGAGTAAAATTCTGCCCTTACGTGCCCTCTGCACTCACCAAGTTCAGTCGGCAAATTCAGCTCCGCAAATCCTCCAGAGAAAGGAACCATTCACCAAAGGTTATCGGAAATTTACTGCCTGAAGTTAACCCTAAATATACAGCATATAAAAGCAACAGCAACAACACAAAGTGGTTTATGTTGTGTTCAAAATCACGCATCGGAGTACTCCCAGTCTAAAATATTATTTTTAATAGACAAAAGCTTTCAGAGGGGGAAAAAAGGACAAAACACCAGAGAGACAAAGAGGGGGTTGTTGTTCTCAGAGGTGGCCAGCAGCTGGAGAGCTGTATCACGAGATGAATGCATCTGTGTGGTAAAAGCCATTCATATAGCGTCCGCCCTGCATTAACCTCTGCTCTGTGTAATCGCTGCAGGTGGCAGAGGTGTGCATCATCCCTTTCTGTAGCGAGAGGGATAAAAACGGCTCTGCACTCATCACTGTACACAAGGATGAGATGGAAAATAATGATCCCTCTCCAAAGGTCACCACTTCTGACGTCAATAAAAACAAAAAGAAAAGCCAGCTACTGTTGGAGGGATTTGAGACCTGTTGCTTTCAAACCGGCTTGTAAAATAAGGTGAACATGCACTCAAAACAAAAAAGCCAAAGCTGCGACTCGTTTTAATTTTACAGAACAAACGAACTTTCTGGCTTTCTTCTTCAGTCAGCTTGTTCTGGTGGACCTGGATTCTGCAGGAGTTAAACTGAGCTGTGTGTGTGTGTGTGTGTGTGTGTGTGTGTGTGTGTGTGTGTGTGTGTGTGTGTGCGTGCGTGCGTGCGTGCGTGCGTGCGTGCTTAAACCATTTAAATGCTGCTGTTGGATCACTGTCATTATGAGACCAAATAGAAATATTTTGTCAATTATAGAATCAAAATGGAACAATCACACACAGGATATAACCTAAATGTACAATATTCCTCAAAGCTGGAGGCACAAACACACAGCAGACAGGGCAGAGAGGTCTGTGCAGCTGAGAGGAGAGGTGGGTTTTTCATTTAACATTAATCAAACTAAAGATCAAATGCCTTCTTTACAGGGAGTTTTCAACCAAGAGAGAAATGAGAGAATAACAGGAGAAATGATGTCTTGAGCTATATGATGCAATAGAAGCTCAGAATTAGAGCTCTACTGACGTTGCCGATGCCGATGACGTCCTAATCAGCCCATGGCTGACTGTCTGGGCTAGATGCTTTCCGCCTTTTTTGCCTGTTAAAATCTCACCAATAACAGCAGGTGCACAACATTTAGTTTTCAAACTCTATTCAACCAACTGTTGAATCTTAATGAAACAAGAAATCAAAGTTAAACAAAACAGCTGACCACATATTAAATACACAAAACAGGTAAATAAACAGAAATGCCACTTGACAATATTGTTTGAGTATTTATTAAGCAGATGTTATTCAGGAATTTAAATGAAATTCTGCAGCAGCGCTGGGCTGCCTGCAGATGTGCCTGACGTGTTTGTTTGTCCAACACATTTGACGCCGTCTGGTATAAATAAGTGCCTTGTTGTTTTCTGTGGAAGTAAAGCTCTCGAGCTCCTGGTTCACTCCGGGGGAGTGGGGGCAGAAAACAGGATTTGGAGTCTTGCTCATCTTTATTCATGATATTCTATATCTCACCTCTGATTGGCTAATAGCAATGCGACTCTTCCACTGCCCATTTGTTCTGCAACAATGTTTTAAATAAACACACGCCTGCAGGAGTTCTGTCATGTTGTGGAGGTGCAAATGCTAATGGTTGGCGTCTACTTGCCGAGACGTGCTCTGCTCTCTCCTGGCCAGCTTCTCAGTGAACCTGCTCTTTGAATCAGCTCTACTAAAGAGGTTTAGTGGCTGACACTTGAAAAATGATAAATACGGGCCCAATATGATGGTCTTTACCTACTCAGAACGCAATGTGATGTTTAGCTACAAACACGTCAAACTGCTGCTCAAAATCTGTAACACTAACTTCTAACCATTGCTGTGTTTGTCCATGTCGATCTGCTGCGGTGATCTTCAGTCAGATTTACTACCAGTGCTGATCAGACGTAGATGTTGGTCTAAGATTTAATTTCAGTGAGTTTCATCAGAATTATTCCATCAGATGTTTTGCTACAATTATAGACAAACACGGGTGAGAAAACCACCCTTATTCTTTATAAAACGGGCAGTAAACTCTTGCATCCTCACATTAATCAACTGATCAGCATTTTACAAATTAATGAAATTTAGTCCAAATTTGCACCACACAGAACAGGCACCAAACCACAGCAGTGTGTGCAGTAACAACGATGAACTCATTATTCAAGTTTAATCTGAAGAGCTGTCCAAAAACATAATATTACTAATAAGTTGACAGATTCTGACCTGATTTACCATCTGATCTGTTCTCTTGCTCAGTTAAAGAGGATGAAACAGTCAGTTTTAGAGGATATTCAGCTCTGATGACTTACATGAACCAAGCTACAAAGTTATGTCTCAGATAAGAAAACTGTCCCATAACAACCAGGGGGATGGAAAACCTCCAGTTGCGCTCACATCATAAATCCTCTGAATGTGGTTCAGTTCTTCTGAGTTTTGTCAGCTGTTGCTTCTAGCAGCACATTCTGGCTTCTGTCATAGAGCTGATCATGTGTTCAGTGGCAAATGGGAAGAGAAAATTCACAACTTTTTGGCAAAAAAAAAAAAAGTAAAGGGATGAAAATAATAATTCAAACCATCTACTTAGGATATAAAACACAGAAGCAAAATGTTTGAAAGCTGAAGATGGGAGCAGATGGTTGGGACTTCAGAAGCCAAAGAAAGGCTCTCAAGTCAAGGTCTGGAAACCTAATTATGTTTTCTTAATTATTTGCCTGTTTTATGTGCATTTACTAGTCAAGTGCCTCAGCACTCAGTGTTGAGAGAGATGTATAACCGCTCCCAACTACAGCTTCCACTTAAATAAATCAGATAATAAAGCAGCCTCTGAATTACCATCAATTTGAATCACAAGCCTGAACAAGTGTGCTTGACAGAATTATTACTTTGGTTTTCTGTCTGAGCAACATAAAAGCAGCCAGTGTGGTAAAGCACATGTGTGTGTATTATATTAGCAATCACCCATCTAAAACCCTGTCGCTAAATGTTTGACCACAGTCCTGATCTAGACTCCTATTGAGTCTCTTTTGGAGTCAGACCGATGCATACACAGTTTTTAACATGTACTCATTTTATGTTTTGTGCTAATGGTGATTCCTTTGAACTGAACGGCTTTTCCAGCATTTACAGTAGTTGTGATGCTTTATGGAAGGAGTTTACCGAGTTCTCTGTGCAGAGAAGTTATCCCACGGAGGAAGAGACAAGCTAGTCTGAGAAGGCAATACTGTGAGTGAGTGAGTGAGTGAGTGAGTGAGTGAGTGAGTGAGTGAGTATCAAGAGTTTCCACTAAACTGGATGAACTCTACGTTGTGTTTTTAACCTTTTTTCAATGTAAAGATCAGAAAAGTCTAGGATAAAATGTCTGAGCAGTAACATCCACTAAAATCTGAACTGAGTGATGAATAGAAGAACTCCCTAACTGACCTGAAGCACACATTTTTAATCAAAATAGAAATCCGGACCCACTCGGAGAATGCTGTGGTTTTGTGTTTGAGGCTATTTACATGGAAACTTGGAGAAAAGGGAAGAGAAAAGCAACACATTTGATGAGCTTTTTCGATAAGTAAACATTGTATTTTGAGCCATCTATTTCAGTTCCATTTTCATCATATCTGACAAACACAAGACCAAAAAGAAAAGTGTTGAACACAGAGAGGTTGTTCTACATCAGCTGAGTGTATCTGGTGTGCAGATGGATCCTTCTGGTCCTCCAGGTGAACAGTGAGCAGTTAATAAAAGAGCTGATATGAGAAGGGGGTTTGGAGTTTTGTTTTTGGAGCGCTGCTGCCACCCAGTGGTCAAATTGTGCAGCACAGAAGGCATCTCACCATATTTGTCCCTCAGGCCAACCGTGCACCGGAACACTCCACCGAAGGCAACGTCTTCCCCAAAGATCACTGCAGATAAACGACACAACACAATCAGAGGAGATGCGAGATGCAACACACACACACACACGCACACACACACACACTTGGAAATAGAAATGTAAAGTCACCTAAAATGTGCTCTTGTGTAATAAATCAAAGTTACTTTTATTGAACTCTATAAACACTGATATATTTTTGTGCATGTACATCATATACACATACACTACTACATTTATCACTTATTTAGAGGTGAACTGGTATCATAGCTTCAACAGCATTTTTATGTGTCTTGGTTATAACAGAGGATGAAATCCTCACCCCGATGAGCATGTCTCTACAACACTCAGAGGTGATGGGAGCATCTACTTCTACACAAACTGACATATGATCAAGAAATGTTTTAAAAACCCATTTAGCTAACGGTGCTGACTATTTTATCTGCCTTTATTGGGTTAGTTTCATCCCTTTTCTTTAGCTCTTCCATGCAGACCACCGACACAAAAAAGGTTTGGGTTCACATTCTGTGACATATTTCCTGACGGCGATCTGAGTATTTATCTTACCTCTCCACTAGGGTTGTCACGGTGTGAAATTTAACCTCACGGTTATTGTGACCAAAATTATCACGGTTTTCGGTATTATTGCAGTATTTTTTTAAACGTGTTACATTTTCAGACAATTAAATAAACCCTGTATGTCAGGAAAATATTGTCCTCAGTTTGTGTCTAAATTTTGTCAAAAATTTGTTATTTTGTAATTATGTTGTTTGTTTACATTTTTCCCCTTTAGTCTTTAAAATACCAATATTTGCCCATAACTTCTTATTTTTTGTCTGTTTGATGTCATCATTTAAAAAATATTAGATCAGATGATACTCAGTACTTAAGTAGCCTTCTAATCAGATACTTTTTTACCCTAACTTGAGTAATAAACCCTGTATCAGGAAAATATTGTCCTCGGTTTGTGTCCTTCCAGTGAGCTTAGCAGATTTGGGAAAATGTCATCAGACAGTAATCATTGTTAAATTCATAATTATTCTCGGAGAGAGACCAACTCTTATCTGCCCCTGGGAGCCCCTTAATGCATAGCGTCATTTCAACATGGGGGTGTCCGCGACACGGTTTATATGCAGGTAGCGGCGCTGCGGCTGCTTTATGTAGCGACTCGTTGCATTCTCCCTCAACCCAAATCCTCGGATCACGTATTTTAGCTAAAACGCAAACGCTAACTTGCCTTGTATTGACTGTAGAGTTGTGGGTGATGGTCACGCAGATGTGTCATGAGATTTGAAGCGTTGCTGCCTTTCACAGACACTTTTTCTGCACGTGCTGCAAACAGGATACGGTAGCCGTCTTCTACAAGGGCGTCAGTTTGTTTCCAGAATTGCTGGGGACAATAACCATACACTTGAGTGGGGTTTAAAAATTGCTGGGGACAATAAAGTAGGCTAGCACAGGGGTCGGCGGCTCTGGAGCCGCATGCGGCTCTTCCATCCATCTGATGCGGCTCTGTGTTTGTAAAATAATGAATGGATATTTAAATAAAATGCTTTATATTTTACTGCATTAATTTTACATCTGTATGCCAATTCTAAATGTAAAGATTGTCTGCGTAAACCTGAACAGGTCCAACCTGGTCTTACTGTGAGACCGGGTTGACGCGTCACGCTTGTGCGTAATCATAGGCGCTTTATTAGCTGAAGACGATGTGAGATTCTGGGATTCTCCTCAGACGGCTCCTGGATGTGTCGCCACATTGGAGACGGGAACAAGCGCTATTCAGCCAAAGTTTCATCATCAGGGAACATTTTCTAAGTGACAAGTCTCTCTGAGAGACCGGGTTTGGAAAACACTCGCTTCAGTGGGAGGAACCTTCCCACATGCGCTCTGCGTGGCTCTGGGGTTAATCAAGTTTAATTGTTTCTCTTTGCAACAATCTTCACAAGAAGGCAAAACAGTTAAACGGCAGGTTACATATATTTCCATTTGACTGTTTATTTTGACAGATGAACTCAAGGATGTTGCTTGGTTTGAAAGAATTACCCCCACGCACACTGATGCACATGGATGAGCTGACATTTTAATCGTTAACGCACATCGCGGAGGTAAAAGATTCCCATCAGAACATCAGAGCTTTATACTGGACACTGTGTTCAGCGCGGCTCGGAGCGCCCACGGTGGACAGTGAGCTGAAGATCTGAGGGGTTCGCAGCGCAGCGCAGAACCATGGTGCATGCAATGATTTCCTCCCACTGAAGCGGTCTGGAAACCCGGTCTCTCTGAGGGATGTGTCACTTGGAAAAATGTTCTTTTTATGAAATTATGAAACTGGCTGAACAGCGCTTGTTCCCGTCTCTAATATGGAGACGCATGATGCGTAGAGACATTTGATCACGCACAAAGTTCGTGTGGAGCAGAAGCGGTCGGGCCACGGCAGGTGAAACGTTCCTAGCCTACATGAAGGGAAACTGTTTAATTGTAACATTAATACGTTACTGGACACGCTGGTCTGGTTGGTTAGACCAGTGTTTGAAGTGGAAAACACACACACACACACACCAATTAAAATATATGCTGATAGCATGGACTAGAAGACAGGTGATGGTTTACGTATTTAAATGATGATCAGGCTGCTGTAAAATGTAATCTCCATCCACATCCAGACAGAATCATCCTCTATTCTGTCTCTAGTCGCTCTGCTCTTGTCTGGGCTGATCAGCTGATGGTGCGCCTAACTAGCGGCTGATGCACATTTTACGCATTTGGAGAGGTGGGCTGGATGCTGTGCGTTTACTGGAAGATGGTTAACGCACGGGTGTAGACTACATATTAATGACAAATGAATGAAAATTAAATTGTGAGTTTTTACTTCATATTTTATAAATAAAAATGACGGGGGAAAACATTTATGACGTCTTTTTAAACTAAATTTTCTAGCGCGACCTGCCTGCTTCACTTAAGTCACTGCTTATTAAGGTCCGTCCAGAATTACTGTGGGAAACGGGTAATAATGGCTCTTTGATGGGAATAGGTTGCCGACCCCTGGATAAGATCTGAGCTGGTAAAACAAAAATCCTCATCAGCAGGCGTTTTTGAAAGTGGGGGGGACACAGCTGCCAATCACAAATTTTGCCGGGGACATGTCCCCGGCGTCCCCGGTTAAAATGACGCCTATGGTCTTCTATCAACTGTCCCTCGGCATTATTCAAATATCCAAAAAATGCCCATACTTCCCTCTTTGTCTTCTTTGAGGGATAATAAATGTCCTGAGCCTGCCGTCTCCTCCTTTGGCCATTATTTCAGCTTTAGCTTCAAGAAAGTTTTGGCTGTAAACAACAAAGTGCGCATGTGCCGCCGGCAACTTCAGCAGATGATACGGTGGCTGGTAAGGGTCACTACGCCTACACCCAGCCACGGTAATCCACAGAGATAATGTTTTTTTAAAAAACAAGACGGTTATTATTATTGTCAACTTTTTTACCGGGGTTTACTGCTACACCGGTTACCATGGCAACCCTACTCTCCACTAGGTTCTTACTCAGGCTTAAATCGCAGGTGTAGAAAAGAATCACCCTCTTTAAACGACTAATTTTGATTCCTTTACATCCTTAAGTGAAAACAAAAATGCATTACCAGCTTTACTTATCCAATGAAAGCTTCAACATCCAACTAAATGATTATTATTATTATTAAACCCAGTATTATTTTTTTATTCTTTGAACTGTAACTTTGATATTTTTTAATGAAAGTTACATGTTGCATTGGATAAGTAAAGCTGGCAAGAAAAAGTGTATGCATTTCAATTTAAGGGTGTAAAGCTAAAAGTTTAATTATTTATTTTCTAGAACCACTGTATACTCTCACGAGCTCCATTAGGTCACAATTGTTTGCAAATGAATGCAGAACTTTTTTATTCACTGCTGCAAAACAAATTTACCTACAGAAGCATAAATAACCTGAATGTTGCACATCTGTTTTGTAGTCAAGTTACCATCTTTCGAGTCCAAGTCAAATAGAATCATTCAAAGTCAAGTCTGATTCAAGTCACTAGGTGCCACTGGCTCAGTCCAAGTAAAAGACATAATCAAGTCCAAAGCTGTGGTGTTGTTTCAATAAGCTTCCTCAACATCACAAGACTTATTTCCATCCAGTGTTGCGTTAATGTTTCACCAAGATCTTGCATTGATGATGGTAGAGTCTGACCGCTGCACAAAGCCTTCTCCAGTACATCCCAAAGACTGTCAATGGGGTTAAGGTCTGGACTCTGTGGTGACCAATCCATGTGTGAAAATGATGTCTCATGCTCCCTGAACCCCTCTTTCACTATTGGATGATCCTGGCACCGATGGATCCTGGCATTGTCATCTTGGAACATGCACGTGGAATAACCTGGTCACTCAGTATATTCAGGTAGTCAGCTGACCTCATTCTTGGAGCGCATCCTGTTGCTGAACCTAGACCTGACCAACTGCAGCAACCCCAGATCATAGCCCTGCCCCCACAGGCTTTTACAGTAGGCACTAGGCATGATGGGTGCATCACTTCATCTGCCTCTCTTCTTACCCTGATGCACCATCACTCTGGAACAGGGTCCATCTGGACTCATCAGACCAGTTTTTAATAATGTGTTGCACAGTTCTTAACCCAGTTTTAGTTGTTTCTACAATCTCCTTTGATGTTTTCTCTGCTTGATGCATGCCAGTAATCTGACCCTTCTCAGAGTAAAATCTTTTCCACGACGAGTCTCGCTACATGGTTGTTTAAGAAATGAGAAGCAACTCACTGCATCAGTTGGGGTTCAATTCAGTTCAATTAAATAACTTGTTGCCAGCTGAAAGATAATGACCCATGTAATAATTATCCAATAAGAGGCTCATACCTGTTTTCTTAGTAAATCCAGGTGGTGACTTTTTTAGTTTGCTGAGCAGTGTCTATAAAAGTTATCTATTCAAGCATTTATAAACTGTTTGTCCCTCCTGAGATCTACCGAGCCTCTAATGTTGTTCGCTACTTGTTTCGGTTCACTGAGATCATCATAATAAACACACATGTCCATCTCCAAAGACGAACCATTTCACAGCGATCCTTCATCATTAACCCGCACAACGCAGAAGATCCAGGCACAGCTTTGTTGCTTTAGCTGTTTAAAGTCAAGGCGTGTTAATCAAATATTTGTAAATATTCCTGCACTAGCAGCCAGTTCTGAGGACTGTCATCCACACAGCTCGTAGGCTACTTCAAATAGATCTGGAAGCTTTGTGCTAAACGTTAGCTTTGAGATGTTTCTTTGTCTGATCATCTGCACAAAGATGTGTCAGATGATCTAAAATAGTAATATATATCAGCATTGTGTAGATGTGCACTATTACTCGGATGTTAACAAAAACATTCAAGGGGCTTATATATTACCAGATGTGAATGTAAACACAGATTCAACCGGCATTTGTTTATTTTTAAGTGCAGATGGCTAATCCGACAGCTCAGCGCCAGTTCAGAGACGCTGTTTCAACATCCTACCTGCTGTAGGATCACTAGCCAAGGTGTTGTCCAAGGCACTTGTAACTGACTGGAACAAATTCATCTTCTGTGTGGGACCTAGAAATTTAAAAACAAACAAAAAGGTTACATATATGCAAACAAAAGCATTTGTGACACCCTCAGCTTGTTTCATCATCTCTGACATCATCATGCTGGCAAATGAGATACAACGGAGTTGGACTGTGTTAGTGACTGAAGTCATTTAACAGTAATATCAGAACAATCCAGTGGACAAGGGTTCATTTATAGTGTTGGACGTTTCCCTTGTATTTGACTATAGCAAGCAAGTACGGCAAGCCATTTTAACATTTAATAACTATATCTCTTTGTAATTCCTATTTTACATATAAATATTATAATTTATCCTTGTCCAAAGGGTAGGGCTGCACAATTCATCGCAAATATATCGTTATCGCAATATCAGCATGCACAATAAGCATATTGCAAAGAACAGATAAATATTGCAATGATAGGTCAGCTCAAATGTTTGCTACACATAATGCATTCTGTCAATCAACCAGAAGCGTGATGTTTTTTTTAACAATTCAAATAGAGCTCTTCACCCATTTGGCCAATTTGGTGGGTTCTCAAAGGTTAGATGCCCACCCTCGAGGCAGACGGCACTTAATTGAGATGGTTAGCGAACACCTGAGTTAGCTTTGTTCTGCTCTTTCTGCTGATTCTGCTTTTCCCGAGAACCACTGATTGGCTTTTCTTGTTCATTTTCTTTTTCCCTTTCCTCACATCTTTTGCTTTTGTTATTAAGGTGGACCCAAATCATAACCGACTGAGCCAACTTCTCCTCCACCCTGTAGGGCAGTGATCCATACTCCCATTACCAGAGGGCTTCAACACACCTGATTTAATAAGCAGCTGATTAACGGGCTTCTGCTGAGTCTGGTGAGCTGCTGAACAGGTGAATCAAGTGGATTGGATTAGTGAAACTACTAAAACATGCTGGAAACCGGCCCTTGGGGAAGGGAGGTGGGGATCACTGCTGTAGGGCGTCTATGACTGTCTTCTGGACATGTGTCCAGGGTCTTCCTCATGACATCGCAACCTCAGAAAAGCTGATGAGGATGTGACTCCATGGGTTTCCAGTGTTTAACTTTGACACAATTATTTACATTTCGGAGAAACTGAATTTTGGGTTCTTATTTGTGCTATTCAGGCTGTACATTAGTGTGTCTGTGTCCCTTATGTGGCATAGGTCTAGAGACCCAAGTTTCCTTTTTATTCATTGTTTTCAGTGGTTGAAGGTTACAATAAAACTTACTGTCTTTGTGTGTTTACCTGTAATCTTGTTATTTTTCTTCTTCCTGTTCTCTAAGTGTATGTGCTGCTGTAACAAGTGAAGTTCACCGCTGTGGGATTAATAGTCTATTTCATTTATTACACATTTTCATCAAAATTACAAGAGATACAGGATTGAAATATTTCACTTTGTGTGATGAACGCGAGTCATTTTGAACAAAACTTATTGAACTTTTTCACCCTTACATTAAGATGCGCCAGTATGATCTAAATGATGTCGGAATTAATGCTGCACAGCATAACTAACCATCTCCATGGAGCTGTCACGTTACTCCAGGTGGTTTAAGGTAAACGTGATGAGTATATTAGTTGTAACAATTGCAGCATTAGCTTGTTATTATTTGTCCTTTAATAACCGATTAACCGATGCTAGCGCTAGCCGGTCAGCTAACCACTCACCATACTGTGTCGGTACGGGGTCAGGCTGGAAGGTAAAGTGAGCTGCATGTCTCCGTTGTGTTTTTAAACGAGAGCTGCAGTTTGGAGATAGTTTCTGTAAAGTTGCTCCAAAACAGCTTTGAGTCCCACAGCTGATACCGGAGATGGGAAGTTTCGAGTTAGCACCTCGAATGAAGAACCGTGCAACAGCCGCCATCGCTGTTATTAAAAATGAACAGGAAGGGTAAGCGGTTCGCGGCGTAAAGATCGTTTATTCTAAAGCCAGACGTCTCACTCTACTAGTAAAACAGAACCACATTGTTTTTGTTTTGTACTTGGATGTTTAAACCATCTGATGGATCTGTGGCAAATGCCTCCCTTTGATAGCCTGGCAAGTCATCCTATGTGCATGTGAATATATGCAGAGCAAATCATTTAGATTCGACAAATGACGGTCTAAATACTAGGCTATCACTTTGGTAGTCTCTAAAGATAAAGCAAGACACTGGGTTCGTGAAACAAATTAAAAACAAAAATAATCAGTTAGTCCAAGCAACTGAATATACTTTATAAACCAATGGACATATTCTGATATAGACAAATTAATTTGTTACTATAATCTTAAAAAAAAAGATTTGTATCCAGCGAACGTGACAGAGTGAGAACTCCTGTTTAAATGATCAGGATTATCACAGCATGTGAGCGGAGGATTGTGATTGGTCAAAAAGGAGGGCGGTGAAAACGACCCAGGCTTCGGATGTTCACAAGTTCTGAGTTTATATAAATACATACATACATATTTACCGATTTTAGACAAAAACACTCACCAATTTCGAAAAGTTACTCAGAAATTGAAACAGCGTCAAGTTGCTTGGCATTCCCATTCAAATCTTTCCCAGTCTTTTCTCCCACCTCCTCTTAGGAAACTACAGATTTGCTAAAGGGTTTTTTAAATAAACACCTCAGTCAACCAGAAACTAAAGACAACTCTCCTAAGTCCTTATAGCTTATTGATAAATATAACATTATTGAGTTAAAAAACTAAATTACAAAAGTGGTAAATTATTTCAGTTAGCAGTCACAGCTTCCTCCCAAGAGAGGTGAGAAAAAAGAAGTTTCAAGGCCTTAAATAATGTCCAATATTCTGTTTAAATGTGATGAAATAAAACAAAGCTTTACTATACAAAAAAAGCCGCATTTATTTCACTTGTGTATACTGTACACAAGTTATTAAAACTAAAAATACAAGAAATAAAAACATTTGTTGGCTTTTCTCCTAAAATGCTACTAAAAGTGGTTACAAGCGAACAGAAAATGAACAAGGTAGACAGTATAAATGACAGATAAATGATCTAAAGACTCTCCAGCCTTGTTAGGATGACGACTTAGCACACTCAGCAACATCCAGCTTCCTGCCACTGCTGCACATTTTAGCCAAATTCTGGAAGAAGCAGACAGAGAAGTTAGCACTTCAGGAGGAAGGGTTTTGAAGATGTTCTACTAAAGATGTCTTACGTTAGCAGCTCGAACGATGCTGGATGGAGACTGGAGGGCTGCGAGGTCCGTTAGAATCCTCTTGAGATCACGGTCACAGGTTAGTTCTGGAGAAGTAAATGAAGTCGAGGTAAGAGTAAAATGGTGATCAGCTAATATCCCAGTTAGCTCTGGTTCCTGCGTACCTGGTTCAGGTGAAGACTGGGCCTCCAGCTGGAGGTATGGATGTTCTAGGAGCTCTGCAATAGAGATTCTCTCTCTGGGGTTTCGTACCAGGCACCTCTGAGGAAAGCAGAGAATTTATTTTAGACCCCACTCATGACTAAATGTACACTTCACACCCAAAAGGTGATGCACCAGTTGAGTTTTTTGAGGGCAGATACTGAATTCAGAATTTTGTCTGTCTCAGACCTGCCGATACCAAAACTCTCACTTATTTTCTAAACTGGTTTATCCTAAAGTGAAACAGAAAAAAAGGTGAGCAGTGGTTAGTCAGACTATTTGAACAGTGCGTATAAACGGAGAGGAACGCGGAACAGCTCACCAAATGCAGCGATACTTGCTTCGTTTCAAATAAGCCAATCACAGATTCAGCAATCATGCATTGATTCCAGTCAGCAGCGGATTTTTGGTTCATCCACTTCCGCATCATGGGTCCCGGGAAGAATGAAAAAATGAATGCAAGTCAACGGGGCTAAAAACGCTATTTTCTAATTCCGTTTGTTTCGTGCCATGGATTTCACACGATGTCCGTGAATTTTAAAAACGCATTTTGATACCAAGAACGCGCTTATTTTCGAACAGGGGGAAACACTATTTTGGGTTTTGCGTGAAAATAAGTCCATGACTACAAATGCGCTTCCCAAAAGTAACATCATCGAACCAGACACGGAGAAAACTGAGGGAAATGGGCTGTAAGTTCAGCAAACTTCCCACAGGAGGAAAGAACCACCATAAATCTGGTCATGTGCTAAGTAGCAGCTAGTTCGGGGAGAGGAGCTTATGTGGTGACGTCACATATGCGACGTGTCGATTTGTAGTTTGTAGTCATGCTAATTACGAACTTTTACAAGCTGATAAATCTCAAAGTACATGACTGGCGTGGTTGAAACACCCATCATTATATTTTCATTTAAATTGCAGTACAACATGTGCGATCCAGGGCGTAAGGCAAAGCGGATTAGAAAATAATGTTTTTATCCCCGTTGACTTGCATTAAATTTTTCTTTCTTCCGGGGACCCATGAGCCGACCAGAAAGGGAGGAGACTTAGGATCCCTATTAAGACATCAAGCTGAGAAGTGGTTCATCTCACTTTCAACACATCCAGCAGATCCTTCTCTGGGATGTTGGGGAACTCAATTCTGTGAGAAGGATCTATGATGGCATGCAGCTTGGATATCTGGTTTGTGATGCTCTGGAACGGAGTCTTCCCATAAGTCATGCAGTACAGGATACATCCGAGGGACCACACATCACCTTTGGGGCTGATCTACACAAAAGCATTATATATTACAGCAGCTGATTATGACAATAATAATCTCATCCCACCTTTGTGTTAGGGGTAGTACCTTTGAGCGACCTTTTCCAGGCTGGGATGAAGAGGTGTCTTTGATGGCTTCAGGAGGCATATAGTTCAGAGTTCCTACCTGAGAAATGAAAACACATTCCTCAGTGTAGGAGACAGAAATAATGTTTAAGTCGTAAGTGTATAAACACACTGATGGGTTTTGGTGTTTATATCTGTAGATCATTATGGATGGTCATGTGACCATGGTTGGAGATCTGATTTCATCTGTTGCACCTGCTCAGGTGACATGGGTGAGCGGGTTGCTGTATTTATTGTTGACCGCCACTCTTTGATCACTATGATGATTATTTGTTTGATTATTTTGAGCAGGTTGTACTCAAGTTCATTTGCTTTACCTTGATAAAGTTCTAGAAAACATTTTTTGGGAATCTCAGCGAACGTTTAAACGAGCACGTCACGACGGCCTGACCTCAGCCTCTCGGGCCACTCTTTTTGTCTCCTGAAGCCGCTGCAACACCCAGTACCAGCTGGGCCTCCGTTACTCCCATGAACACAAGTATGAACGAAACATGTTCATGCAGACATTTAAACATAATGACGCATGTATTTCATCAACGTGCAAACGTTCTTAGTGATTCCCCCCACAGAACTGGGCAAAAGTTCCTTCTGTTCACTCTTCTTCATTATAGTCCCGTTAGTCGTCACACGGGTGAAACTTGTTCTCTGCATTTGACCCATCCCCTGGTGGAGCGATGAGCTGCAGACACGGCTGCGCTTGGGAACTATTTGGTGGTTAAACCCCCCTAATGCTGAGGGTCAAGTGAGGAGGCATTGGGTCCCATGTTTTAAGTCTCTGGTATGACCCGACCGTGGATTCGAACCCACGATCTCCCAGTCTGAGAGTGGCCGCTCTACCACTAGGCCCTTGAGAAGGTTCGTCATGGAACAGGTTGCAGGAAAACAGGAAATTAACTCCTTGAATATATTTAAAACCAGACTGAGAGTACTTGACACTGCCCCCTGTGTTTTAACTGCTGCCTATAATTTTATGAATAACTTTAACTATGTAACTGAGTAATTTTGTAATTGATCTTTTTCCGCTTCTCGGTCAGGACTCGCTTGAAAAGGAGTTTTTTTTTCCAGTGGAATTTTCCTGGTTAAATAAATAAAGAAAAACTAAATAAAACATGGCCGACATTATCAATTCCACTTGTTTTGTCCATTTGAGACACTTCAAAGGTTTTACTAGAATTATCTCTAGACAAAACCATAGTCCTGTTTTGTCCAGAGCTAGTGTGGTAAGCCATCCTATATATGTGGACATATATAGGATGGCCACGACCAACTGATGGATCTCATCTGTGGGGCAGAAGCTATGATTGTCTTTCTAACATTCTCCACTTTCTATTGGACAACGAACAACGAGACATCCTCACCGCTACAGATGTCAGCCAACGGTGTAGTCCGCCATACATCGCTGACGAAGATACAAATACACTTTTTCGAAATAAAGGACTTAAGTACCTCTATCTGCTCTTGGAAGGAAAAACCCAAGTCTAAACAATCCAAAGTGGATCCCAAAGCCGTTTCAAACAAGCTGTCGCCATCTTAGCTTCGCCCCGTAACTAATTAACATCCCGCCTACCAAATCGATAGAGCGCTGCCATTGGCACGCCCCCAGACTGGCCTGGGTTGTGAAGGTTCTAATGGAGCACGGCTGGCCCGACACACAGTGTAAAATTATTTTGCTTCTGCTACGGTCCATCTAGATTTTTAAGCATAGCTACATCCCATGTGAGCTCCGACAGCTGGCTTACCTGCTTATTCAGCATAGATAAAAAAACAAAACAAAAACCAAAATGTGTTTGAAGTAAATCCAGATCGTTATGTTTAGACAACGTACGCTTTTCCTTCCTAAACGTGAAACTATTGTTTTAAAACAAAAACATTTTCCTTAAAGCTCCTCCCAAGAACCGGATTATTCTCTGAACCAAATAAAAGCAAACAGATGAGAGACAAAGCACGGATTAGCAGCGTTACCTGGGAATCCTTCATAATGCTCGTCATATCAGGCTGGATTCTGTTTGCGATCCCAAAGTCGATCAGCTTCAGCGAAGCATTCACAATCACAAAGTTAGCCGGTTTCAAGTCACTGTGAACAATACCTACAGAGAGCAAACACGAAGGTTAGAGATGAACTTTAGGATGAACATGGAGATGGCAGCACCAATAGTGAGAGGTATGAAGACAGAGAACCATGTTGGTGGATGGTCTGAACGGCCTCCAGCATGTTCTTCCAGTAGAACTTCCTCTCCAGCGGATTCACTGATTTACGGTTTCTCAACCAAGTGTTCAGATCCAAGTTTCCACATTCCATCAGCATGTAGATGTAGCTGTTGGTCAATTCACTGGAAAAACCGCAGAACAGCATCGATCATCTCCTCTGTAAACCCTGATGGGGAAACTACACTAGAAATGAACCCAAATGAAACTCACTAGTCATAGAGCTTTATGATCTGATCGCTGTACTGCTGCAAGTGTTTCAGATGTTCGATTTCATTCCTGTAACTTTCTACGGTCTGAGCGTCCGCCTCCTCCAGGTCCACGTGTTTCACAGCAAACAGCTGCTTTTTGTGATCAAGGACTTGGTAGACCTGAAACACACACACACACACACACACACACACACCATTTTCAATGGGAACATGGCATTTTGAACATAAAATGAACTCATCAGCTGTGCTTTATTATTGACCTTGCTCGATCCGCCACGTCCAATCGTCTTAAGGATGAAAAACTGCTTTCCATTAATAGTAATGCATTCATTTGACCACGCACTGAAGGCCTGTGAACAGATTCAAACAAGTATTTAGTCCGAGTGAATTTCATGTTAGGAAAATATAATTTATAACCATAAATCTAGGCAAAAGGTACAATTTTTAAAAATGTTTCAGTCTTGTTGGTCCTATTTATTGATGTCAGTCAGAGACTAATGCCGTGTAATATTGCACTCTGAAGAAAACAGTGTATAGAGTCCAACTGAGCAGTCTGCTATGAACTCATGCTACCTGTGGGGTTTTGAAATTGGCTGCCTGGTTTAGAGGTGTGCATGGCTGCTGGACGGGTCTGGTTCTGTATGCTGCTGCAGAGGACGGCACCTCGGGGTCTTGCTTTACAACAGGAGTAATAAAGCTGAAAGACAGATAATGGATGAAATATTCCCTTTAAACGGCTGTTTTTTTTAAATTAACAAGGCTGCAAAAGTAATTGATTATGTGACGCGTTTTAGGAACAAGTGGTTACCTGTTCGCCCTTGGGTTCCTGTAGCCATCAGGAGTCTGGAAAGCTGCTTGTGGGTTCAGTCTAGATGGAGGTTGGAAGGACGGAGTAGGGATGGACTCCACCAGATGAGAAAAAGGTCTGGGATCAAGAGGAGTTGCCCGTTTATCCTTTATGACACAAGAAAAGAAGAGTCTCAGAGTAAATTAAAACAAGATTTAATCAACTTAAACAATAATTGAATTTACAAAAGACATTTAATCATTATCTGCTAAGTCCACCTTCCTCTGCACTTGTAAACATAAACTAGGATATTAGAAAGCTGAAGACCTAACATGACAAATTTAAAAAATTGCATTTAAAAGATGAGAAACCTCTGGAGAAATGTGCAGGCTGATGGGACCTGGAATCTTCCACTCTGAAGCCAACTCCCTGCTGGAAGGTTTAGGTTGTTCCACTGGGGGGCCCACCGGGACCCGAGTGGGAAGCTGCACATCCTGGTTTCTTCCACAAGACGGCACACTTCCTGCAACAAGAAGTTGCATTTGTAGAAGAAGTTTAGAAACATCCTACTTTAAACAGCCCTCCCCGTTCCTTTGGTGGATCTGTACCTGTGTCTTCCTCCATCGGGGGCACCAGCTGCTTCTTCCCAGCTTTAAGGTTACTCAAGGCTGTGTTCAGGAGCTCAGCTGGTTTAGCCTTCAATGCCTGGGCTTTGTGCAAAATTGAAATTGCTCTGCTGACATTACCTAAGAGCGGGAGGAAAGTAATCAAGGTTGCTCTGTACCAACTAGGCAGCAACACTGATGCTACTCGGTGCAATTCCTGCATTTCCTATTCTGAACAAATGTCTTCTAGACCCCGATCGGCTTTGTTCAATGAAGGGATGTCAGATTTTATTACTAAAAGGGTGTTGTTTATTATCAGAATGCTTGGTTGTTTAGCCACCTATGAAGTTCTTCCAGCTTCACGGTGACATCTGAATGAAACCCTTAAAAAGTAGATTTACCCTGAGAGACCTCAAACTGGGCATACGCAATGTGGACGAAGGCAAAGCCTTTGCAGGAGGACCTTGCAACAATGAAGTTGTCCTGTGCTTCATCTGGATCTTCAATCCTACAGGAGAAACACAGGTGGGACAGTTAGAGAGGAAAATGGAAACATGGAGAGAAAAAAGGTTAAATCCCTGATGATTTTGTTTCTTCTTTGACACATAAATTGAGATAATAAGTTCCAAGTGGTTGTGACCGGTGCAACCACCTTGAGCAGAAGAGACAAGACTAAAACCTCCAGCCATTAGCGTTTGTTAATAAATGTACAGAACCACGAGCTGCTACAGACACGTCTAACGAAAAACATTTACCTCTTTTCTCCTAAAAACATGCCTTTTTTAAAACATTAGCTGTGTTTCCATTACCGGGACTCCGGTGTAGTTCCTGGGACGGGGAAATTGACCAGGAGAAAGGATGTCCCAGTCCTCCCAACTGTTGTGTCTCCATTCAAATTCAGCCCTTTCAGCATTTTGTAGACGTCAGCATATCACAATGGCTTTGGCAGCGAGTGATGTCACTGATCAGCGCCAAAAAGCGTCCACGGTGACACAAATAATATTAAAAGCATTTATTCTATCCAAGTACATCATAATTTAACCCATTCAGAGGACGAGAGCTGCTGTGTGATGTAAAATGTGGTGTTCGATGACCAGAAGAAGTGCCGTTTTTTTTTTTCAACGCTCTGTGAGACAACAAAAATCCGTTAAGTAAGCGAGGAAATGTCCCCATTTTTTCCAATCTCCGGAGTTTAGCAACACCTGTGGGGTATTCCGCCATGTTTTTCAGTGTCGGGAGTTAAATTTTAAGTGTGATCTGTGCTTTTTTTATTTTGCTTCCATTCTGCTTCACCAGCAGCTCTTCTAATTTTACTAATATCGATTGTTTTGGACGACGTCTGCTGATGTAATTTCCCACTGAGTTACAACCAATCAGCGTGAGTTAACCAGAGGTTCTGCTCAGCTACTCCACCGGGCCGTTTGGAGAACCTTCCCACAGCAGGCACTCAGAAGGTTCCTGAAAACGGCCGTTCGGCCGGCCCAGTCATGTGGAGACACGCGCGTTGGGAAGTTCTTGTAATTTTACCCTGAAGTTCAAGTTCCGGTAATGAAACGGAGATATTTGCTTAAATCCCGAGTCCAGCACCGTAGGCCTCAATTTGTTAAGGTTAGAGTCCGATTCAATAAACAAATAAATAAATGAAGGGTGGACAAAAGCATCATCAACAGGAACGTTTGGTTGACAAAACTTCTGCTGACATCATCAACAAAAAGATGAACACGTGTCTTGATGTAGCTAGATGATTTATCCATGTAGCATGACAAAACTTCCAAGTTTTAGCCAGACTAACCCTTTAAGTTCTGCGTATCTGACGAGTATCCGGGCGTAGCTGGTGTTTTTGCTGAACTCTTGCATCGGCAGCCTGGCGAAGACCTTACAATAACAGTCCTTTAGCTTGCTGAGGAGACGGATATCTGTGTGGGGGTCACCTCTTTTCTCCAGATTCCTCAGGTAAGCCCAGCACGACTCGGGAGAATTAGAATTGACAATCTGATCAAAACTGAACGTTACGTCTGCAAAGATGAGACCAAACAAAGAAACCCAGTTAAACGTCTGGCGGTCACCCAACACAATGGAGGTTCAGTCTGGGGACAGGTGAGACATTACCTTCCATTCTCGAGGAATCTTTTGTGTTTTGTGCGTGAAGGAGTGTAGCGGAGGAGTCTGCCTGCCCTGTGTGCTGGCTGTGATCTGGACTGGGAGCTGGTGGCTGAGAAAACATCCAAGTCAATCATCCTTTTCTCTTCAGATCAAGTTAAACATATTTTAAAGCACAAATAAAAATAAAAGCACAACATGACTGCATGCTGTTATTTATGCTCACCTGATCACTTAATAAATCCCTCTCATCTGTAGTTTTTTGTGAGGAAGAAAGTCTCAACACCGAGTCAGCTGTTTGCCTAGAAAACAAACATGAAATAGATGCATGAAAAACAACAACACAGTAAACAGTTGCAGTGAATCTGCAGCTGAGCAAAACAAAATGAATCAAAGCACAGAAAAGACTCAAAATCAAATCAAATATTTGATTCAGTAAGTTTCTAAGTGATCATGTCATATTCTACAAAACTGCTCATTTAATGTGAGACTAAAACTACTAAACACAAACAATAAAAGAACACCTGGACAAACTAATGGGGATGGACGGTGCACTTCTTTTGGAGAAAATCTCACTGACGTCGACATTTTCAGGGATGGAGACAGGCAGCATAGGTACTCTTCCTGGCTACAGAGCAAAAAGCAAGAACACAGATTAAACTCGTCAGAATCAGAATCACCTTTACCAATAGTGTTTAACGTATGAGCAGTTTGCTTTGGTGTGTGTGTGCGCATGTGTGTGTGTGTGTTTGGTCAGATCTTCTCTGCTCCTTGAGATAAGGGAAAAACGTGCAATCAGCTGCACTCACACAAACAATAAAAAACAAGGTGGCAAGCGGGATAATCTGGAAATTAATTTGACGCATTAGACAGAAACTTACCAAAGCAGCTGCTGCTCGTTTGCGCTGAGGTCCGGTTCTCCAGGCAGGTAGTGGGTCGTCTGATGGCTCCACCCTGATGGAGAAAAAAACTAATAATTATAAGGTTATGTGACTCGTTTCAAATGAAAACCCCAGTCTTAATGACGATGGTATTACACGTTCTTCATTCTTACCTTAAACTGAACGAACTGAAGAGCTGCAAATCACCCGTCCCATCTGAGTTTCGGCCAACTTTCTGAAGCTCTGAGCTTTTTCTGACAGAACTTTGAACGCTATAGTTTGATAATGCTAAAGAAACAGAAGAACATACAAAAATAAGATATGAAGATGAAAAAGTATTAATAATAGCTTATATGATAATTACTTATGGATAATGTTGGGGTTTTCTAAACTGCTGTAAATAGGTATGGCCGTATAATAAAAACTTTGAGTAAAATATGAACGAGTACCCACTTGGCAAATTCTCTTTGTCCTCTGAGCCCATCTGTGCTCTCCCCCGCTGCAGGCTCTGAAGCGCAGCCTCCAGCTGCTCCTTTGGTTTGGCATCAAGTTCACCAGCATTCTGCAAGATGTGAATCGCTCTTTTTGTGTTGCCTAACAACACAACATGCAACATGAAAAATATTGAGATGGTTTGTAAACATTTGAAGCAACAATAAGGAAAGGAGCACAGTTTTTGTTATTACCTTGAGAATGCTCAAACTGTGCATGAGCGATGTGAACGAAGGCAAAGTTTGGACTTTGAGACCTCGCTATGTCGAAGTTGGCCTCCGCCTCACTGACATCATGAATTCTAGGACATGAATAAGAATAAAGCTTTTGTTAAAAAAGAATATTTTGTGAAATAATGTGACATCTGACTATTACTCACGCTTTTAACTCTGCAAATCTGACCAGCATCCTGGCATAGCTCTCACTCTGACTATGTTTCTTTAGAGGCATATTAGAAAATACTTTGGTGCAAAAATCTGTGAGCCTGGTAAGATGGTTGTGATCTAGGCGAGGATCCCCCCTTTTCTCCAAGTCCATCAGATATGAGAGGCAAGAGTCAGGCGAGTTTGAGCTGATGACCTGATTAATATTGTCCGTGTCATCTAAAATAAATAAATTAAAAGAGTTAGTGAATGTTAAATATGCGGATCCGCATTAATGAGCTTTACAACAGCAACACTATTCATTACCTTCATTGAGAGACTGTTTTATTTTATTAAGCTTTTGAAAAAACTTCGCAAGCTGTTGCTGTCTATCAGTATGTTCCTCTTCCTCCATCTGACAGAGAAACAGATATGAACAATTACAATGAAGACACGGCTGCGCATGCTCCTTTCAACTCTGGATTTCCTGCAGAGATCAAATTTACGTAAAAATACAATTTAAAGAAAATATGAACTCAAAACATCAAAAGGTCAAACTGGCTCTTTTAAAATGTGAGCAACTTGTTTAATATAACGATGATAAACCAACGGGTTAAGAGGAGAACAAATCGCTAACGTTGAGTTAGCACAACAGTGCTGTAGTTACCAACAAAAATCGCTCACTTTTCTAAAGAAAACCGTTACGTATAGTTGCTGAGATGCATGAATTTATCCTTGATTTAGTATCTGATGAGTTACCTTCTTAAAATAACCCGCTGAGTCTTAAAGATGTTTACTAGCTAACGCGTAGCAATGTTGCCGCTCAATCTAACAAGTTTCTAAATATTTAAAAGTCCTGTTTAAAACTGAAACTGCGAGGCTTTTCCAAGAATCGATCTTACCCTGTTTACACTGATATATATACGGCGTTTACCAGAACACGTACTCCCATGAGATACACAACACAGCAAAAATGCTAAATGCTTTAACTGAAAGTTCAAATTTTCCACTTCCGTTCAAGTCGCGTTCTGATTGGCTAGTTTGTCTTGACGTAGACGCTCCGTTCGCTTTTTTTACGTGAAAATGTAAAATGTTCAAACTAAATTGCCACTAAAACGAATATACAGCAAACGCAAAATTGTGTTATAATTATGATTAGCCTGTGGTTTGGAGTTTGTATTTTGAAAGTGTGTAAATGTAGATTTTAAGTTGTCCAAAACACTAGTACAATCCTTTATTGTATGCGCATCAATTTGGTCTGTAGATTGATTTCATAGCATTCAATCTACAGTAATATGGATAAGGTTAACGTTTGTTTCCCACACAATTTAAGAAAAATGTTTCCGGTCAAAGTTTTCTAATTTCCGACAGCTCCTGAATGCTACATGATCATGTGACGCTTTCCTGTTCCTGCCAGCTCAGAAATGGCAGCCACGGGACCGATGTGTACGACGACACAATTTTAGAAGCTTTTGTTCAAAATAGATTTGTGTGAGATGGTTGCATACATGTGGTTTTGCTGTGACAAATGTAATAGTCTTCAGCGTCAATGTGTCGGTTGAGAAAAGTTTGTAATGGGTTCAGAAATATGTTTTCCAGTGGGCTAAGCTAGCAAGCAGCGTTTAGCAAATAAATGAACTTGATTCTTCTGAGTCGCAAGGAGAAAACATTTGTCCTTAGGCATCTTCCTAGGTGAGTATGTTGAGCACTGAAAATTATATGATAATGATACTTAAATGACATGACTTAAATGTGATGTAAACAATCCCTAGATTAGTCTTAGCATGATTTCAGGTAATGGAGCAAAACAAACAATGATATATTTTAAACGCTTTGTTTGTTTCCACCAGCTTAATCCATCATGGCCATTTCCCAGTTCCGTCTGTTCAAGATCTGCACATGTTTAGCCAGCATACTGTCATTTTTTAAAAGGTTGATATGCAGGTAAGAAACATTTTATTAACAAATACACGTTAATTCCTATATATATGTCGTGTTTTCTTCCTCTTGTCCTAATAAATGAGCAGCCAATATGTTTGAAATAATTTAGGATATGTAATTCTTTAATATCTGGACATCTGTGCATTTTTAGCTCAAAGATAATCAAACAAACATAAATGAAAGTGCTTACATTTGATAATTTTGGATGTTCTGCAGAATCAATCGCTTTATTTATAAAGCGCATTCCGCAACCCTGTCAGGAAGCCCAAGGCGCTGAACATGGTACAGTAGAAAGTTAAATATAGTGAATAAATCAGAAAATAAAAGCAATTCAAATTACAGATTACAAATTACAAAAAAAGATGAAACATTCTAGTACAGGACAAATGTGTAAAACAAGGGATTGAGTGAACCAATGAAAACTGTGAAATAAAATCAACATAAAAGAGGGCCAAATTCAGACACGTTCAGGAAACGCCAAGTGGAGGAGATGGGTTTTTAGGCGACTCTTGAAGACTGGCAGAGATGGGGACAGCCTAACTGAGGGTGGCAACTGGTTCCAGAGTGATGGTGCTAGGACTGAGAAAGCCCGGTGTCCGCGAGTACGACACCTAGAACGAGGGACAGCGAGCAGGCCTTGTTCAGAGGAGCGCAGAGCACATGATGAGGAATGTTTGTTCAGGAGTGTGGCTAGATAGGGGGGAGCACCACCCTGGAAGAAATTAAAACCAAAGACGAGGAGTTTGAAGTGTGAACGATAGCAAACCGGAAGCCAATGCAGGGAGGTCAGAACCGGACTGATGTGGTCCCGTTTCCTGGTCCCAGTCAGGAACCTGGCTGCACTGTTCTGCACAACCTGTAGGCGACGCAGTGATGACTGACACAACCTTGCATATAGAGAGTTGCAGTAATCAAGCCTAGAAATTACAAATGCATGCAGTACCCACTCCAGGTGGGCTCTTGACAGCATAGGCTTGATTTTTGCAAGGCGTCTCAGGTGAAAGAAACTGGACCGGATCACAGAGTTGATGTGAGCCTCAAATGTAAGTCCAGCATCAATTTTCACCCACAAACTGGTGACAACTGGTTTTGAGTAGGGAGAAATAGGGCCAAGATCAACATAACGACCCACATTCCTGCTGTTGGGGTGAAAAACAATGAGCACTGTCTTTCCCTCATTCAAGCCGGGCGTACAATGTGCGACTTTTTCACTCGCAGTGTTCAGCTTCAGCTCAAACTGTACGACTTCCTCGCAGAGCAGATCTCACGAGTCATGTGCTCACACTGCACGACGTCTGGTAGCAACACGTCGGACCTAAAAATATGCTAAAAATAGCAGTTTTTACTCAACACGTCAGACTTTTTTGTCTTGTTTTGCCTGTTGTCCTTCGGGAGTGCTGCAGGAGGACACACAGGGGTTTATGGGGGTTGGATGAGGAAAACGAAATAAAGTAAATCTGTGTTTTGTGATCAGTTTAATTTGACATGAACACGACAAACACGCTTTCTTGACAATCTTTGTGAGTAAAAAAACGTGTAGAAATTAAAACGAACAACGTGTGTTATTAGGGAAATAGCGAGTGAGCGGCATTGATGCAGGATTGTGCATGCGCCGTGAGCGGTTCTGATACTTTTTGGGTCGCAGCTGCTCGCAGCGCCGCTTCAACAGTGCGATACCCTCACGAGGGACGAGCAAAATATTAAAAACGCCAGAAGTCTGTGCGACCTTACGACTGCTGATCGGTAGCTGGTCACGTGGTGTTAATCGCCTCTCGTAACCCCCTGTACACTACACGACCGCTCGGCGCAAAACTCGCCCCGATGTCGTGGATTCTCGCACGACTGGAAAATCGGCTCAAAAAAGTGAAAAAGTCGCACAGTGTACGCCCGGCTTCAGATGCAGAACGTTGGCCATTAGCCAAGACTTCACCTCGTTAAGACAGGACACAAAGGACTGGATAGAGTGACCTTTCTCCTGACACAATGGAGAGTAAATCTGGCAATCGTCAGCATACAGATGGAATGATAGGCCATGTTTACGAAAGATTGACCCCAGAGGTAGCAGATAAATGGCAAACAAAAGAGGACCAAGGATCGATCCCTGCGGGACCCCCCAGCAGAGCCCCTCCCAAGAAGAAAAAACATCACCCAGTTTAACGCAGAATGTCCTGTTGTGGAGATATGATCTAAACCAGTCAAGAGCAGACCCTTTGATCCCAACCCATCGTTCCAAACGATCCAGTAGAATCGCGTGGTCAACTGTGTCGAAGGCTGCCGTCAGGTCTAACAACAGAAGCACCACAGATGTACCCTGATCTAGTGATAGATAGATGTCATTGACTATGTTTACATGCAGCCAATATCCGGGTTATGATCGGGTTAAGGTCGGTATTCGGGTTTCTGAGTTGATCAGAATAACCCGTTTACAAGCATAAATAGAAAGAGTTACCCCTAACTTGCATAACCCGATTTAAATGTGATTTGAAGTGGGGTAGCGTCAAGACGTATGGACTACGTCCGGACGCAATATGCCTCATTTCCGGTTCTTCTTGTTCTGGTATCCGTGAAAACAACAACATGTTTCCCAGTTCAGAAGAGATAGCGACCGCGTTTGTTTGCGCTTTAGTTTCTTCGTCACTCCAAAAGTGTGGTGCTGTGCTGCGACTCGCCATTTTGCTCCCAACTTGTTGTTTACTTCTGGTGTTCTGGCACATACAAGACGTCTCGCTACTCAAAAGACCCAAGATTACTTGCGAACAGAGCATGCACAGAACACACGCTTTGATGGGGATATCCCGATATGGGTTTACACGATCAAACATTCAGGTTAGAAAAAGGTTACCCCAGGTGTAGTAACCGAGTTTTTAAAAACCCGGTTATGAGCATATCCGGGTTTCTGGCTGTGTTTACAAGGACCTGCGGAACCGGGTTATTGTGAATATTCAGGTTTTAAAAGGGTTACTGGCTGCATGTAAACGCAGTGATTTAGGACCCTCAGTAGAGCCGACTCTGTGCTATGGCCAGACCTGAACCCTGGTTGGAAAACCTCAAACAGATCAGAGTCAGCTAAACGTGAGACCAGCTGCTGATAAACGACTTTCTCAAGCAGTTTTGATGTAAAAGGCAGGGTAGAGATAGGCCTGTAATTTGTGATCACAGAGACATCAGCACCAGGTTTCTTCAGGGTCGGCCGAATAACTGCTGCTTTCAAAGCAGCTGGGACAACACCTGTGCTGAGGCTCCCATTGATAATCTGACCAAGTGATGGGCCCAGACACGGAAAGGCAGCCTTCCAGAGGCGAGGCGGCAGAACGTCAAGTGGAGAGCCAGATGGCTTCTGCCTCGCAACTAGCTTACTCAGCTCAGAGTATGAAACAGTATTGAGGGAACTCAGGGTGGGTGGTGATGGAGGAACTGGAACAGGGTCAACAGAGTTACCAGAAATAGCTGCTCTAATGTCCGATACTTTATGAACAAAGAATTTGTGAAAAGCTTCAGAGTTTTTTACTTTTTACTGTGCCTTCCTGGAAAGCATCATGACCTTCTCCATCACTTGCTGGTTCTACTCCCTTAGCCTCCAGAACAGGAACAGACTGCAGCACACTGCATCAGTGTGTTCCAAAATCGTTGGCCTGCCTGTCAGAACTCTTGCTCAGGTTTTCTATCAACAAGTCCTGAGACAGGCAGCCAAAATCCTCCACAACCCCTCTCACATTCTTCACCCCGCATTTCAATGGCTCCCCTCTAGGCGACGCCTCCGCTGCATTTCCTGTAAGACTGAGAGGAGAAGAGCCACCTTTGTCCCCAAAGCCATTCTGCTCTTTAACTCCAGCAGATAAGATAAGACCATCCCCCGATAAACCCTCTCCTTGGGCTCTCCATATATTTAACTTTTATACAGACGACACTTTAGTCACTTGATTCACTTACTCAGTGTTTTTTTGCATATTTTACTGTTTTATCCATCTTCTTGCTGCTTTATTACTTCCTTATTGCCTATTTTTTCAATGTTTGTATGTCCAACATCATGCTGCTCTGCTGTTTGCCCCTCGGGGATAAATAAAGTTTTTCTGATTCTGAGTTTCCAGCAGCTGTAGGAGACATGGAGCTAGGCTCCTGATACATCAGAACAGAGTTTAGTGTTTTGTAGAGCATCTTGGGATTCTTGGAGTTTGTTTCAATGATGTCTGCAAAATAGGCCGTTCTGGCAGCCCTCACAGCATCCTGATAAGCAACCAGAGATGCACTGAACAACTCACGCGAGACCTGTAGGCCATCCTTTTTCCACTTTCTCTCAGAGGATCTACACGCCCGCCTACAAGCCCGTGTGACATCAGAGAGCCAAGGCTCCCTCCTAGGCTGAGACTTGCAAAGCTTGAGAGGGGCAACCACGTCCAGGACCTGATTACAAAGTAAATCAAAGTGTTCTGAATAGTGATCGATGTTCGATGGATCTGGGTTAAAGGTCCCTAACCTTACGGACATACAGTCCACAAACTTTGAAATAGTTTCTGCTTCCAGGGCTCTGAACCTAGTAGCTGGAGCTTCACACACAGGGACAGGACATGGCAACGTATCACTCACAGCCTTTCATAACATAATTCTAAACTAAGATAATCTTTTCTATAGCGGCTCCTGTTAAATCTTGAAATGAAGGTGATCTGTGGCTGCATGCATCACTTAAAACCTTGCATACGGTTGTCAGTCAGAGTAAGGACTTTCTACTAGGGTAGACAATATTTACCGTTTTTATACATCCGCATCAATCAATATTTGTCCTTAGTAAAGCCAATTTAAAGTCAGGCACATCCTCAGTCAGCCCGGTGCTGTTGCAGAATTTATTTTAAATTTATTTTTAAGTTCACTAATAAATAAAAACTAAATTAACTTTATTTAGGTGTCTGACTTAAACAATGAATAGTGCACAAAGTTAGGGTTTAACAGTCGGGTAAATTCAGAGTTCAAAAACTGGTTGTGCTTCAGAAATTTTGTGTGTTAACTGATGTTATTGGTGACATTTTAGCATGTAAATAGGACGGAAAACGTCTAGATGTCAGCAATAAAAATCGGGCCATGAAAATTTGCAGTAGACTGCTGACCACGTCTGCTATATATCAGCAATAGAAAACCCAATATCGGCCGGCCTCTGCTTTCTACTAGTAACACTTTATTTTCAGCTTAATATTTGTAAGATTCATTCATTCATTTAAGTGATTTGGAACAGGGGAGGGTGTGCAGAGATGGGAGGAGACATGTTCCAATCTAGGGACAAACTCCCCTCTGCCCAAAGTGAAGCCGCTAGGGACTGGATCCAAAAAGGATCAAGTTCCCATTAACTCCCATGTTAAAAAATGGCTTGCTAGTGGCACGACCCCCTGCTTGCTCCAGGAAAGGCCTCGGCCTCATATCGGAGTCACTCAGTCGCGGTTTTCTGTCACCAGCCAACCTCCGTTAGCTTCAGTTAGCTCGTAGCTACATTGGCTCAGAGTTTGTTGGGTGTCAGTCATCTGCCCCACCCTCGCATCTCCACTCTCAGCTCCATTTTTCTATTTTGCAAGAGTGAAGAGATGAGTGATGCAGCCAAAATGGTGGTGGGAACCGCCCACTGTTTTTTTTTTTTTTTTCAGAAACCTACGGGTGACTGTGTAGAGTGTTGGTCATTGGTGGACATTTTTGTTATGGCTTGTCATCTCTACTGATCATCACTGAAAAATAAAACAAGCATTCCACAAAAATTGATATAAAATGTTATTGGGGTTGTTTACATTTGCTTTATTTCTCTTTAATGGTATACTGAAACAAATATGAAATCACTCTCAATGTTATGGTCATAAGTGCATGAACTCCAAACCAAATTTCCAGAACTTGTCTTGGACAAAACGTATTTACCAGCATGTACTGAAGCACAGTGTTGTTGGTGTTTGGTAACAGCTGTCTGCTGCTTTAACGTTTAATGAATGTCTGGATGTTTGATACAGGAGCGGAAGAGGCCGCAAGCTCAGCGGTGACCAAATAACTCTCCCAACAACAGTGGATTTTTCATCGTCTTTACCAAAACAGGTTGGTAGAACAACTGCCTTGAGATGTTCAGGGACAGCAGATAAAAACCCATAAACCACACTTGAAAGCGTTTGTTGTTCTCCATAATTAAAATCAAAGTCCTGTTTTCTATGTGAATGTTCACAGCCAGAGATTGAAGAGTGGAGCTCCTGGGATGAAGAGGCTCCGACGAGTATTAAGATTGAAGGTGGAAACGGAAACGTCCCCCCCCCTCCCGACGATGCAGACGAAGAGCCGGATTACTTTAAAGACATGGCTCCTATGATCAGGAAAACACAGAAGGTGAGTTGTGTTGGGGCTAAGAGTTTAAAGTCGATAAAATAGATGGAAAAACACTCAAATCATTTCAAACAGGAGGCAAAAGTTTATGAATAAATTCTTCTAGTTGTTTAATCAGTGCAACACATCTTAGTGTTTCTGTAATTCTTTGTTTACACTCTTAAGTCTCATAAATATTTAAGTGATAATCTTTTTGCCAAATTAACAGATAGTTGTGTGACCCCATTGGCTGATTGGAACAAGCTTTATTTTATTTTTTCAACAAAACATTATCACCATAAGCAACAGATGCAGTATACATAAGGCTTCTAGCCAGAGGCTAATTTGCTACCCTTTCCCCGGTTAGGCATTTATATGTAAACAGAATTAAAATAACAGATCTATAAATACAGTGCGGTTGCAAGTTACACTAATAACGTACCTAAAGACTAGGGCTGTCACGGTAACCGCAAAAATGAAATATCGCAATATGAAGAAGCCCACCGCGCTGCATCATGGGCCACCGCGATTACTGAACTTGGTTCAACTCAATGATGCATGTTGAGAAGGATGGCTGCGCTGGTATCAAAACGAAACGTTGCTTCGCTCCTTTGGGAGCACTTTGGTTTTCAGTACGTCAGCTGCTGCGCAGCCAGAGTCCTTGGCCGACACAGAGCTGCCACCAGCGGCAAAAAAATAATAATAAACGCTCTTGAGACCTGCTGAAGTCCCGGACAAGCACTGCTTCTGCAACCGTCCCGAAGAGAGTTTGAGCCGAGGAGCTCACTCGCTACCTGCAGGAGGAATGCATCCACCCAAAGAAACCCCCCTGACATGGTGGAGCAACAACCGGGAGAGATTCCCTTTGCTCGCCAATCGCACGCAAGTACGTGTGCGTTAGTGCAACGAGCGCACCATCCGAGAGGGTTTTCAGTGTTGCTGGAAATGTTGCCACCCCTCTCAGATCCTCTCTCAAACCGTATATGGTTAACATGCTGGTTTTCCTTGTGGGTAACAAGGACGTGACCGAGCTATAAATCACCGTCATTCATGTGTGAAAGTGAAATGATAGTGCCCCGTGCCCGGTACATGTAATTTTTTATGCTTGATTTTAAACAACTAAACACAATGGGGACTTGTTTCTTATTTGTTAGATGCTGCAGCCAAATTTGCATTTAAAAGTTTAACCTTCTCCTGAATTTTGTTGTTTTCAAGTTCAGTCGGACTCCGACTGTCGGAGAAACAAACGTTACTGCGATCTGTGTTGTTACTGCCCTTTGATCTGCATTCAGTAAAGTGTTATTAAAGAAGGCACGGCAATTTTTAACCTTTTTTAAATGTGTAAACATTATTGTTTAGATAGTACTGCGATACAAAAAAAAGTGCTGCAATAATATCGCACACCGCAATATTAAGCCACCCTGAATCACCGCAGGGGGAATTCCTCAACCGCGACAGCCCTACTAAAAACGACATAAAAGTACCCAAAAACGACATATTCAGATTAAATTTCAATCTTCAGTGTTGTTCTTTCAACCAGTGCTTCAGTATTTTTTGTAAAAAGCCTGAAGTCTGTCAGGTAACGCGTTCCATAACTGTGACCCTTTGACTGAATTGTCTGACATCTTTTGACCCTGCAGTTCCCACTGACCCCAGCTCTTGTTCTCACCCCTGCACTGTTGTATTTTTCTATTTACTGACTGATTACTTCAGGAGCACTTAACCTCATCATCCTTTTGCTTGGCCCGCCTTCTCATTTTTTATGTCTATGTATAAAATATAACGTTAGATTTGAGCTTCTTTTCTTTTTTCCATAATTTCTCCCTTGAAGATTGTTCTGAAAAAGAGGGAACCCCTGAACTACCTGGTGCCCGACGGCTCAGCAGGATTCTCCAGCAGGCTGGCAGCCTCTCAGGATCTGATGGCCTTCAGCCCACCTTCAGTGAGTTAGTTTTACTCTCAAATATCCACCATTCCCCTCAAACCCACAATACCCTTTTCTGTAGAGTTGTTTAGAACAAAATACACTCTTGATAATATCTGACATTTATTCAGCTAATGTCATGTAGTAACGTATGTAAATTAAATCAAAGCCAGAAAACTCACGGTACTCAGAACAATGTTGATTATACTTTACTCAGAGTCAAACTATTTACAGCCAGACATTTAAAGTAATGAAATAAAGTGGTGCGCTACCTGATTTGTGGTTCCTGTATAATTATTACAGTCTCAGCAGCATCCTTTGTTTTCTCAGGCTGAACTGGGAGAGATGGAAAACTGGCAGGAGGACACAAACGCTTGGGAGGACGAGTCAGACGCTGCTTGGGAGGCAGAGGAGGTGCTCAGGTAAAGGTTCAACATTTTTTTTTTATTGGTTTTGTTCAAGATGATGTGATTAACTTTCTTTCATTTGGTGGTGATTTTGCAATAAAACTGGATCGTTTTTTAATTCTGCTGAAAGTAAAGTTTTAAAAGATAAACTAGCCGGAATAAATTAGATTCATGTTGTTTAAAAACATGGGAGGAGTGTTGGCTTTGTGGGTTTGGTCACAAAATTACTCACTTTCACAATTACAGTTATGTACTCAAGGAGTCTGTCTCAAGTGTCATTTAAAAGAAGAAAATATGCATATCAGTGCAGTTAGGTTCAGCTGGTGTATATGTGCATGTGTGACTGACCAGTGAAGAGAGGTTGTTCCAACAGCCTGAGGTGCTGTGTGTTAATGTGTAGAAGCACTTCATGGCCAGCAGGTGTCGCTGTGCTCCACCATTCCATTTTGGATCAATGGAACTTGTACTGGCTGATTTGGCTTCAGTTCAAACACTTGGTCTTGAAACGGGCTTCATGTTTGTCTTGTTGTTTTTAACAGGCAGCAAAAGATGGCCGAGCGAGCGAAGCGGTTCATGGAGCAGCAGAAGAAGAAGATGGAGAAAGAGGCTCAGAGAATGCTTAAGAAGGAGCAAAAGATAGCGGTCAAGCTCTCGTAACATTTTAAAATGCTCAGTTTTGAGCCTAAAGGATCGGGGCTGGGAGCAAAGACACTAAATCTATCTTCACCCTCTTTGAAGTCAAACTAGCAGGATTATCATCTGTTTGTGTCATCAGGTTCCACCAGCAGTTCTGTTCCCCGGCAGCAGTCTTTCAGAGCACACAGCGCTCTCGTTGGACTGACTGGCTTCAGTAGTTATTAAGGTCCGTTTCATCCTGGCATCAAGGTTAGGCTCACACTAGAAGGCCTCGTGGATTCTGACTGACTCAAGTCGGTATTAAATGTTCTTTTCCACCAACATTTGTAAATAAACCAGCATCTACCTTCTGAAGCTCAGATAAGGAGTTCAGTTGCCTTTATTTGGCCACTAATGGCCTCTGATGAAACAGGAGTGTAATTTATTTTATGCATCACAGTTTATCAGTGACATCCTCTGGCCTGATAATTCATGTGTTTTTATATTGAAGTCTATTGCTTTGGTAACGTTTTGCTTGATAAATCTGCTACAAACTCTTTAGCTACACTGGAAATTGTAATCAAAATGATGACTGGGAGTTTTTAAACCAAGTGTAAAATAAACTATAATCTAGCCCACCTGTGACTTACAGCTGCAGGTTCCTATGGTAACCTCTCAGCAACCATTTTATCATTCTTTCATTCAACCATGTCATTCTGTTACGATTGAAGAGAACTATCCAGTAACCGGTCCATCAGTTGTTCTCTGGTGGGGAGAAGTTTAGCTCTTTTCTGTAAAGTGATCGATCCACAGGAAATCACATTTTCACCAACCAGGATGGATAAACTCCAATCAGAACAGGGAAAGGGCCACTTCATGGACGTGTTTTACTAGGATTTATTTTTCTGGGCTTTTTTATGTCAGGATGTGATGAAAATGGAAAATTTCCTGTTGCCACGGAAACATTATCTGGTGAAACTGGAACATGTTGACTTATTTTAGACCACGGATTAAATCAAAGTGATGCTTAAACCTTCTGCAGGTCTCCAGATGCTCTTCTTTGTAGAACAATTTGATGAAAACTCAAAGGTACCGGTTTAACCTCAAAGGTGACGTGATGATTGGCCAAAAGGAACTTGTGACAGAGGTGTTCTTTTTAAGGGAAGTGAGCAAAAAGTAGATTTTTGTATTCGCATGTTCCTTATTTTAAATAAAATTTTACACACACACACACACCCTTTGATCCCCCCCATCCACTGTGTCATCATGTTTAAACCAAGCACACATTGATACATGAGCGGTCATGCTCTGTGCAGAAGTGACCGATAGTATTTCTGCTGTACTGGCCCTTAACTGGTTTTTAACAAAACATTTGATTCATTGCCTTTATAAGTGTTATTCTGTATAAGCTGTACATGCTATTAAAGAGCTTCCTGAGCAGCCTCTGTTCAGAGAAACAGCTTTCATGTCCTCTGATACGCTAAAGTGCTCAGACATTACCAGTCTGTTTCTAATGACTACAGATCTAGTATTACTAAAGTCAGTTTTAAATGAGATGGTTATTCTTACAGAAACTTTGTTAAAATTCCTGCCAGATCTCACCCCTGGATCAGATGACATGGCTGCTGATAGAAATAAACTGAGGAGAATAGTCCTAGGGTTGGGCATCGATTGGAACCGGTTCCCGGAATCGCTCAAAGTTTTTTATTTCGATTCCTAGAATGCCGACGGAAGAGGAGTCCGCGGCCGATCTCCGTGAAAAATAAAAGTGATCAATGCTTTTCAGAGCTGATCACACCAGCTGTCTGTGCAGCACCGAGCCCCCCTCCACCTGGTGCACACCGGCCAAATATAAACAAACGCATCTGTCGAACTTTTACTCCATAACGTAAACTTTAACTCCTGCAGCATAGAGGAAACTTGTTAAAAGATGTCAACACGGTGGATTTAATAGAAGCTGTAAAGAACAAATTCTGGATGGTGTGAGGTGAGATTGTCTCAGTGCAGAAATTAAAACACACACGGAGCGTCAGAAGGCTGAACAATAACCTGTAGAATAATTAGTCATCATGGTAGAGCAGCTTCTCTGTGGTGGACCACACCAGCTTCTGCCACCATAAATAATTATAACAATAATAAATGACACACAGTTGTGAACAGTTCATTTCCTTTCTGAACTATTTCTGTTGAGAGTTTTAATGTTTAAATCTGTTAGATTGTAAACTTGTATTTAGACTGATATATTTCAAATGTTTCTTTTAATTTTGATGATTATAACTGACAACTAATGAATCCCAAATTCAGTTTCTCAGAATCGTGGAGGAGTATCAAGTATCTCAGGGTCTTGTTCACTAGTGAGGGAGGGAGCAGGAGATCGACAGGCGGATTGGGGCAGAGTCTGCAGTGATGCGGACGCTGCACCGGTCTGTTGTGGTAAAGAAGCAGCTGAGCCGGAGAGCAAGGCTCTTGATTTACTAGTCGATCTACCGCACAGTCCTCACCTGTGGTCATAAGTTTTGGGTAATGACAGAAAGAACAAGATCGCGGATACAAGCGGCCGAAAAGAGTTGTCTCCACGGGGTGTCTGAGTTCAGCCTTAGGGATAGGGTGAGGAGCTCGCACATTCAGGAGAGACTTGGAGTAGAGCCGCTGCTCCACCATATTGAGAGGACTCAATAGAGGTGGTTTGGGCAACTTGTTAGGATGCCTACTGGATGTCTCCCGATGGAGGTGTTTCCGGGCATGTCCTGTCGGCAGGAGGCCCCCTGGTCGATCCAGGACACATTGGAGAAATTACATCTCCGAACTGGACCAGGAATGTCTTGGGGTCCTAGAGGAGGAGCTGGTGGAAGTGGCCGGGGAGAGAACAATCTAGAACTTCCTAGTTGGGATGCTGCCCCCGCAACCCGGACCCGGATAGGCGGGAGAAGATGAGACAAGTATCTCAGAATATTAGAACCTTTTGAAAAGGTTCAGCATTGAAGACCCCTGGTGCCACACTAATTAACTCAAAAGCATTTAAAAGGTCACAGTCTAGTTCTGTAGGCTGCACAACCACTGACACCTTGCACAAAGAGGGCAAGACAACAGGTCACTGCTAAAGAGGCTGTTCACAGAGCTCTGTGTCCAAGCACATTAAGAGAGGCAAAGGGAAGGACAAAATATCATAGAAAAATGTGTACAAATAATCAAGATAACTGCACCCTGAAGAAGATTGTGAAACAAAACCCATTCCAAAATGTGGGGAGATTCACAAAGAGTGGACTGCAGCTAGAGTCAGTGCTTCAAAAACCACCACACACAGCCACATGCAAGATATGAGTTTCAGCTGTTGCATTCTTGTGTCAAGTCACTTATGAACAAGAGACAGCGTCAGAAGCATCTCACCTGGGCTAAAGACAAAAAGGACTGGACTGCTGCTGAGTGGTCCATAGTTATGATCTCTGATGAAAGTAAATTTAGCATTTCCTTTGGAAATCAAGGTCCCAGAGTCTGGAGGAAGACAGGAGAGACACAGAATCCACGTTGCTTGAGGTCCAGTGTAAAGTTTCCACAGTCAGTGATGGTTTGGGGTGCCATGTCATCTTCTGATGTTGGTCCATTGTGTTTTCTGGGGTCCAATGTCAACGCAGCTTTCCACCAGGACGTTTTAGAGCACTTCATGCTTCCTGCTGCTGACCAACTTTATAGAGATGCAGATTTAATTTTCCAACAGGACTTGGCACCTGCACACAATGTTAAAGCTACCAGTACCTGGTTTAAGGACCATGGTGACCTTAACCCTATATAAACTCTATGAGGTATTTTAAAGAGAAAGTCAAACCGAAACATTTAGAAGAGCTGAAAGCCACGATCAGAGCAACGTGGGCTCTCATTACACCTGAGCAGTGCCACAGGCTGATCTAGACTCCATGCCACGCCGCATTGCTGCAGTAATCCAAGCCAAAGGAGGCCCAACTACATATTGAATGCTGTACATGTTGATACTTTTCAGTTGGCCAGCATTACTAAAATTCATTCTGCATTGGCCTTAACATTCCTTTATTCCGAGATACTGAATTTGGGGTTTTCATTAGTTGTCAGTTATAATCAGAATTAAAGAAGTAAACATAAGAAATGTATCAGTCTGTGTGTAATGAATGAACCTAATATACGAGTTCACTTTTTGAATGGAATTACTGAAATAAATAATCTTTGTCATATTCTAATTTCATGATTAGCACATACCAATTACAATATTTCTAACACCACTGGCAGGACATGCAGGCATCATACTGGTAATCATTCCAACCAGTCACCCCCCCATGCCAGCAGCATCTCTGCACTTCTCAAAAATCTGAACTATCTTCATACTAGAGCTAATGACACAACATGAGGTCCGACATCAAGCTGTCTTGTAATCCACCTTTATACATGACATTCATTTAACCCCTGCTGTTGTGATGCCACTCCCATCTGGGTATGGGGACACTGACCCACTTGCACAAGAAAGACAAACCCGCTCATCAGTAACGAAGGGAATAAATCTTGAGGTTGCGGTTCTGATTGTTAGAGCTACGGCATTCATCCCATCAGTTCTGCTCATTCGTTTAATCCTGCCTTGATGAGGGGATTACACCATCTGACGGCTCATTTTTTATGCCTTTAAGAGTTAAGAGGCAGTGGTTATGCAACTCTAGATTACCACAGTGGAAATGAAGTCAGAGGAAAGGCGTTTCTTCTTTTAGAATCAACACTTCTGGATCAAATGCACTCAACATTTTCAGCTCCACGGCTCAGGGGAAGCCTGAAAACTCCTGAGGCTTTTACTCATATGACATAACTTCATCGCACTTGGGTTCAGAATAGATCTTTCCTCTCCTCCAACGACCGTTTCACTTGTTCCTGATTTGAGATTCAATTTTCTTACATTTTGAACTAAGCTCTTACATAAGTGAACATTTAAAGCTTCTGTATCAAAGACAAAACAAGTCCAAACATGTTCTCAATTCTCATGCTTTAATAGTAAAGATACATCTGATGTAAACCACCGGTATTGCACATTGTTCAGGCACAAGTCTCAGCTGCTGTGATACATCAAAGGTTTTTATCAACAATACAGGCTGGTCTAAGTAAAGCTCTACTCCCAGAAAAGAGGAGGGGTTGGGGGGGGGGGGGGGGGGGGAGACTCAACAGTGAACTCGCATTAAAGCTTTGGCTGAAGGTTTAAGGTTTGTTTATGAACAGAAAGAATCCAAACAATGTGTCCATCAGTCTTTCGCCTCCTAAACGAAAACAGGTTGAAGTGAACTTAACACATTTACAGACATCACAGGACAACAACACATAACCATCTACCCAGATGATCTGCTTAGAAATCAAATACAGACATTTTCACCAACTGAAACCATATGTGCAAAAATAACGGTGCTGGAACCAAAGTGGCTGCATTGACCTGATTAAGTGCAGAACAAAAAACAACCCATAATGCTCTTGCAAATAGGCTTAAGTGCATTTATTTCAGTTGGGCATTTGCATGCGAGTTGAAAGCCATTATGCATCCGACCGGTGGGCGACGTGACGAAGAGAGTGCAATCTCATGACGCAACAGCCTCTGATCAGAGCAGCGATGTTGTCCACTGGAGTGCTTCCATCCACGCCGTGTCGAGAGTACAGCCAGGCCACCGTGGGCAGCACTGGGGCCGCCACCGCGACCAGATCTATCAGGAAACTGTTGATCCAGTAACGCTTGTCCACCACATCGAGTCTAGGAGACGTTCGAGGCTTCTCCTCGTGGATGCCAATGTCCAGCTCCTCCATGAAGGCATGGCTCTTTGTAGGCTTTGAGCAGCATGTGTCAGAATCTGTGGAAGCGTCAGGACTGGTGAGATGCGTACTGGGCCGGGCGGGTTCTGAGACGGCCTTATTGGCAGTGGTAGCAGAAGTGTGTAGGTCCGGGTAATTGAGGAGGCTGATGGGGGCAGACTGAGCTGCATCTTTAAGTGAAGCCCCGTGGAACTTGAGTAGCTGAAGAAGTAGGTTCTGTAGGTCCTGGGATACAGGTTCTGGGTCGGTCTGGATCTCCTTTTCTTCTCTGCTCTGCTGGGAAAGAGTGTTTGAAGAAATTGTGATTGTGCTTGAAAGTAAATTTGGTGGAGCTTCACAAGATGCATGAGCCAGCTGTCCCTTGTCTGAGCGAGCAGACACCTCGAATCCACACTCTGACACGGCTTCTGGCTTGCTGCTCAAGTCCTGGCTGAAATCCACTGCAGTGGACATGAAGACCTGCTCAAAAATGTCTGTTCTGTTGGCCAGCTCGTCATTTACCAGCAGCCCACTGTCTGCCATTGCCTCTGCTCCTTGGTGTCCCAGCTCCATCCCACCTTCTTCCTCCCTAATCAGCTTTTTCCCACCCCCCTCAGAGGTGTCGCACATGAAATCCAAGGCGTTTTCATCGGGGAGGGTAGACCCACTCTGGGCAAGCTCCATGCTATGCAGCAGGGACTCCAACTTCCTGTTCTGAATATTTATATCAATAAAGTACTTCTGTATTCCCTTGTCTTTCTCCATTAGGCTGCTCTTCATGGTCTCCACCACCTGACGTAGCTGTTTGATCTCTTTGCGGGCTTCTTTGAGGGACAGCTGAGCTTCCACTCTGTGACATTCCTCCTCAATCCAGTCTTCCCTCATTCTGCCAAGCTGGGCTTTAAGCTCCTCAATCTCAGTCTCTCTAAAACATAAGAAGAGCTACAATCATTTAAGGTTCAGCTTACATTTTTTTTTTATCTTCCAGGAAAAATCTCTAAGGTGCAGCCCAAAATGTTTTTCTGGAGTATTTTGCCATGTTGCTTAAAAAGCTCTTCACTTTCTGATGGCAGCCAATTAAATTCAATGTTTTGTCCAAAAAATAAAACAAATCATGCGTACTTCATTCGAAGCTGCTGAACAGGAACTGAAGCCAGAGCCGGGCTGCCTAACAATCACAAAGTTATGTGTTGTTTGCCAACTTCCCATAAGGAGTTGTTTTACATGTTCTGTTGAGTCTGGTTCTGTTAACAGTTTAGGTGATGGAGCTGTTGTCTGTGAATGCAGCTTGTATTTTTTGGTTGGTAGAGCGTGTGTGCGTGTGTGTGCGCATGCGTGTGTGTGTGGAGCTGGCACAGTCGGGAGGAGAATACAAGTAGAGGTTTTGAAGTTAGGAATAAACTAAAAATGCTAAAAACTGCCTACTTTTTCATGATGACATTCCAATTAGCTAGCATTCTAAACTGTTGCGTTACATTAGGAATTATGGTGGAAAAGGTGTCAACAAGTCAACAACAACAGTGAACCCTCGGGAATAAGTGTTCCTGTGTTCTGGAGGTGCAGCTTAGGGTAGGAAGTCTAGAGGACGGCGGTTAGACCTTTGAATTGTATTTTCAAGAAGTAGCTAAATCCAAGACCATGGTCTTGAGTCGGAAAAAGGTAGAATGCCTTCTCCAGGTCAGAGACGAGGTCCTGCCTCAAGTGGAGGAGTTTAAGTATTTCTGGGTCTTGTTCTTGAGTGAGGGAAAGCTGGAGCACGAGAGCGACAGTCTTATTGGTGCTGCTTCTGTATCGGTTTGTCGTGGTGAAGCGAGAGCTGAGCTGGAAGGCAAAACTCTCCATTTACCAGTCAGTCTACATTCCAGAGGAGCCGGTTGAGGTGGCTCAGGGACCAGGTTAGGAGATCTCTTGGATGCCCCCCCCAGTGAGGTTTTCCAGACACGTCCAACTGGGAGGAGATTTAAAGGAGGACCTAGAACACGCTGGAGGGTCTATGCTTTTTGGGGTTCTTGGGAGAGGGAAGTCTGGGTCTTTCTGCTTGGGCTGCTTCGCCCGCAACTCGACCCCGCATAAGCAGACCAGAATGGATGGATGGATAGCTACTTGAACCGAAAGGAAAGCATCTCATGCTGTACCTTTAAATGGTATTTAGACAAACGTGATTGAAAATGCATTTTTTGGTAAAAATGAACTCCTAATCAAAGACTTTCGAAGCGGTGATCTCATGAAGTCAGAAAATTTAGAGCTAGCCATGACAGCCTTTGTGAAAATCCACCAAAGTGACTTTGTGCTCATTTTAAAAACGTCTCACGGTCCACTGATGTCATGTCCTACAGGACTAAAGCATCAAAGCACATGATCGTTCTAATCGTTGCACACAGTACTGATGCACAATCTATAGGCTGCTTCGTTGGAATTGTTTTTGTTAGACATCAAACATTAAGAAACATTTTCTTACGTAACTCCTTTCCTACTTGATTCCCTCTTTTCACCTGAACAGAATTCTGTAGGGATTACATCACAGTTCTTGAAACGGGAAATCGGACATTCCAACCTCTTGCTAACCTGTCTCGAACTTTGTTGTCAGACTCCAACAGCTGAGTCTTCAGGTGTCTGAGGGCCACCTCCTTCTGCTGCAGCGGAGTCAGGTACTGCTCTGGGTTGGGAGGCCTGATGCCGTGGTTGTCCCCACATGAGTGGTAGCGCCCCAAACCGGCTCTTCTGTTCAGAGAGAGGAGTGTGACGGGAAAAGGAAATGGTTACCTCTCAGATCGATTATCCATCTGTCCTCTCAGACATTTTCAATCAGCAGCAAAAAACAAAAAACAAAAAAAAAAAAACATGTTGATGCTTAAAAGCAGAGTCTCTCCATGTAGAAGGTGATTAGTCAGGCTGAGAGAGCGCTGTCGGA